AAATTAAAAAGTCAAATAAAGTCAAAGATGATGAGATGAAGAACTGAGATCAATCTGAACAAAATGTTCGATCGATCTGACAGATAGCAAAAATATGCAGGTTTTTGGTTCAAAAATTTGGTTAAGTGTTGGAACTCAAGATCGATCTAACTTGAGGTTTGGATCGATCGAAAAAGTTATGATCGATCTGAGAACAAGTTTGAACGATGGGACAGAGAGGTGATTTGGATGCAGGTGGATGCAGGTCGAAATTTTTCCTAAGTGTTGGATACAGGTAGAAGTTCGATCGATCGAACTCTCATTTGAGATAGATCGAACTTATGCAAAATGCTCAACTCTAACATGAAAGCTCATGCAATCCTAACCACAGTTCCTAGCAATGCATATGAACTAAAAACAAGTATCTAGACTTCGCAAGAAATGAAATTTAAGATAGAAATGAGGGAGGAATAGGGTTTTGACACCCTACGAAATGTCGTGTTAGTCTTTAACGTCTCTAGCAAGACATTGGGCTCTTTTAGCCCGGATCAAAGATCTTATAATGCATCCCCTCTTTGTTGGGGTGATAGATGTTTTAAAGTCCACCCAACAAATGGTTCTTTGAAGAACTTGTTAGATTAAGCTCAAAAGAAACTTTTGATCCCTTGTCAATGCAATCACAATCTTTGGGCTTCCATGCCCTTTCAAAGCAAGAATTTGAAACAACGCTTTGAGAAAGCAAGGTTGAAGATGATCCCTTTGAAGTTTTGGTCTTTTACAAAGCTCACTTCTTTGACATTGAAGATAATAGCATTTATCTACAACATTAACCTCTCCTTCATATTTGTCAAATGAGTTGGGTATAGGATTGAAGATATTCAATTTCACCTTCATGTGGCCAAATGAGATCTTCATTATCCCCGTCCTACAATTGATGTTGGCATTAGCGGTTGCCAAGAAAGGACGGCCAAGGATAACGGGAATCTGGATTTTAGGATTGGGGACCGGTTCCGTGTCAATGACAACGAAATCAACGGGGAAGAAAAATTTGCCAATCTTTATCAAAACATCCTCAATGATACCCCTAGGCTTCTTAATGGATCGGTCAGCAAGTTGTAAAACTACCGACGTCGGTTTCAATTCACCTAGGCCCAATTTGACATAAACCGAGTATAGAAAAAGGTTAACACTTGATCCTAAGTCAAGAAGCATCCGATTAATGATATGATCACCAATGATGCATGATGTGGTAGGTGAACCGGGGTCCTTAAACTTTGGTAAAGTGTTATGTTGCAAAATTGAGCTCACTTGCTCGGTTAAAACCACTTTCTTGGTGTTTGGCTCTTGTTATTCCGCTTTTGGGTGCACAAATCTTTTAAGAATTTGGCATAAGCCGGAATTTGCTTGATTGCATCCAAAAGTGGACGATTGACTTTCACTTGCCTAAACATTTCCATGATTTCATTGGTTTTTGCCTTTTGCTTGTCTTTTGAAATGGATTCTTTTAAGGCATCCGGAAATGGAGCTTTTTGGCTCAAACACTTTTTCAGCATTTTCTTTTGAAAACTCTTCAACACAAGAATTTTTCAAATCACTTTGTTTCAAATCATTTTTCAACAAAACCATTTCAAATTCATTTTCCGGCAAATCTTTCTTTAAATCATTTTCAAAATCATTCTTCAAATCACATTTTGAAGCTTTCTCATTCACAAGATCATGTATATGCAATGAAGGAGGAATGGGATGTGAAACGGGACGGGTGACAACTTGAGGTTGTACCGGTTCACTCTCTTCATTGGACATTTCAACTTGATTGTCCACAATACTACCACTCTGCAAAGTAGTCACCGCATTAACATGCTCAATGGTGTGGCCTTCCGATGAGGAATGGGTTTCCACAACACATTGTTGCTTATGTGGGGCATTCATAGGCATCTTTCCCTTCTCTTTTGCATTAAAAATGCTTGCTATTTGCCCTACTTAGGTTTTTAGCTTCGCAATAGATTAAGAGTGGGAATGAAGCAATTGTGTGTTTGCCTCAAGAGTGCCCAAAGCATTCAAAACTTTTTCTTCAAAGGCGGGACTTCTAGCATTTCCTTGGGAATAAGATTGGTTGGAAAAATGAGAGTTAGCAAATTGATTCCCTTGTGATTGATAAGGTCTATAACCTTGGGATCATTGGCTTTGAAATGGAGGTGGAATGTACTTCCCTTGAAAACCGCCTTGGGAAGGGTTTGAGCCCTCTCCTTGGTTTTTCCAAGAGAAGTTCGGATGATTTCTCCAACTTGGATTATAATGAGTACCATAAGGATTGTTCCCTTGGTTCACAAAAGCTGCATTAACTTGTTCATTAGGTTCATTTTGCACCTGTCCGTGAGGACAATGAGAAGTAGAATGAAGAACACTAAAGCAAGTCATACATGATGCATTCGATACACGATGAGAATGGTTAGGGAAGGAAGATACTTAGTTCACCGAGTTTTGGTTAATCAAAAATTGATCCAACCTTTCAGATAAAGACTTCATTTCGGCGGCTATTTCATTTGAGTGGTCGACTTGATGTAAGCCAACACTCTTCCTACCTTGTGAATTTCTACTATTCTTGGATGATAATGTTCTATGCAAAGAATTTTCACTCATACTCTCATAAAGATGCCGCACATCATCCTCATGCATATCAATGTAAGAGCCACCCATGGAAGCATCAACCATGCCCTTATAATTGTCCGATAAGCTCTCAAAGAAATATTAAACTAATTGCCATTTGGGCATGTCATGATGTGGACACTTCCTAAGCAATTCATTAAAGCATTTCCATGCCTCATGAAATGTTTCTCCATCCCCATGTGAAAATTCCTGAATTGAGGTTCTCATGGCATTGATCTTAGAAACCGGATAGTACTTCTTCAAAAACTCTGGTTGCATTTTTGCCCAAGAAGTGATTGAAAAAGGCCTAAGATTGTTAAACCAATATTTTGCCTTGTCCTTTAAGGTGAATGGAAAAAGTTTGAGCCTTAAGACCTCTTCCGGCATGTCCGTATATTTTACGGTGGAACATATTTCTAGAAACTCATCCAAATGCTTATAAGGTTCTTCACTTGGAAGTCCATGATAGTTAGGAAGCATTTGAATGGTTTATGGCTTAATTTCATAGTGATGTGCTCTAAGTGGTGGCAATTGAATGCATGTGGGTGCATTATATTCATTAGGTACATAGTGATCTCTTAAAGCAAGTGGAGGATTAGCAATTTGAGATGCAACATGGATACCTTGGTTGCCTTGAATGATGGGGGGTGGTGAAACATACATTGGCCTTGGCATTCCAAATGGAACTTGGCCTTGTTGTTGTTATGGTTGGTGAATGAATGGCCTAGGCATGTCTAATGGTACTTGAATGTTCCATGATGCACATTTGGATGGAGGATACCTTGTTGGTCTATGTGACCAAGGACCTCTACATGCTCTTCATTATGGCCTTCCATTGATCTAATAGATTGGGTTGAACTAGAACTTCCTCTTCCCCTAGGATTTCTAACTACGGATTCAAGATGCAAATCAAGAGGGACAAGAGTTGGTCTTAGTGATCTACGACCATGCATGCACAATATAAAACACACAAACACAATGAATGAACAAGCACTTCGACTTCACAACAATTCAATGAAACTTCCTCCACAAACACTTAACCTATACTCCTATGCTTTAACAACAATGATGCAAAGAACAATTAAGAATGCCTCCACGCGGGCTCACGATTTATCTAAGAATTTAAAAACAAGCCTCCACGCGGGCCGACAATTTAACTAAGGGATTGAGTAAAGAAAGTCTCACAAAGGTCCTTTAGCACTTCAACTCCAAATTTATAGCTTAGCTTAGCAATTTTTTAAAATTTTTAGCATTTTTCCTTACTTGCTTAGCTCCTTTGCTTGAATGCTCCTTTGCTTGAATGCTCCTTTGCTTGCCTCCTAACTCAATGCTCCTTGTCAAAGATGAACAAACACAATAAGTAATCAAAAGAAAAATAAAAATAAAATAAAGACACGGTCAAAAGAGTACTAATTTCTAATGAATTCCACAAATACGACATTGCCTAATCCCCGGCAATGGCGCCAAAAACTTGGTGGGTGTTGTCGTCGCACTACACCATAAGCTTAAGAGTGTGCATTAAAGCGAGAGCCAAGTTTTACATTTATAAAAGCCACTACTACCTTCACTAAAAATATAGTTAGGGCAAATAGGGATCGTCCCAAGGGATTGGAGTCGAATTTGGTTGTGGAATCACAATTAGGGTTAGTAGGTCGAGTGATCAAACAAATAGTTGGTTGGTTGATTAAACTAGAGAGCAAATTAAACTAAATAATTGAATGCAATAAAGAGTAAGTAAGAGAGAGAGATCTTGGGGTTTAGAGGTTACCACCAAACAATATTTTTCTACACCCTTAACAAGTGACTAATGAGGGAAATGTGTGTTGCAATATTGACGTGTGTGTCTGTTTGGTTTATTTAATTAGCAAGGATGACCAATTAAGTATATATTTTCTAAGCAACATGTGAAACGCACAATATATCTAGCAAGTCATTAAACCTTTCATTACGCTCACAAGCCAAATACACCACAAGTTTAGAGACATATGCTACTTGCATTCAAAAGTATGAAACATCAAACAACAAGCATAGATTGTCCTCCCATCTAACAACTATACTATCACTACACTACAATTAAGTTAATGACATGAAATTTAACTAATTAAGCTAAGGGAGAGGCACAATCCATCAAGCAATGAGCATGGACCATCAAAAAAATTACAAGAGCATTCCATTAAGCACTATGTCTTGACAATCTCTAGATCTATGGCATTAATACACATAGACATGCATCAATAACACAAGAAATAGAGACAAACACATGAACATCTATTCTAGCACACATAGACATATGGATAGAATGAAATGATCAATTGGAAGCATTAAACCACATAAATCATTGAATAAACAAGATCTATATATATATAAGTGCCAAAACATGTATTACAACATTAATCCCTCAATAATACACAAAATTAAGATGTAGAAAGCATGTTTGGGGCTAACTCTATCCCCAAGAGGATGTCTAGCCACTTATGGTAATGCTTCTCCAACCCTCAAGGGCAAACTCCATGGAAGAAATCTACTCCTTGGTTGATGAAGAGCTCCCAAGCTTGTGTCTCTAGCCTTCTCCTCCTTTCTTCCTCCCTAAGAATAGCCGCTATTATGATAGATCAATCTCCCTCAAAAAGTGTATCATATTCTATATATAGGTAGGTCAAGTGACACACAAAATGAGCTGAGGTCATGCACAAAATATTCCCCAATGATTGGATAAGGACAGCTTTCAATGAGCTGGAAATTTAACTTTTTCGCACTGGAGGAAGTTCGATCGATCGAACCTTGGACTTGGATCGATCGAACAGGCTGAGATCTATCGAACTGAAGTTGGATCGATCCTCAATGGCGGCGCCTTTTTGGATAAAAACAAATCTGAGATATTTCGAAGATATTTTTGGGAGAAGGACAAAAGTGGTTGGTAGGGTGGTACAACTAGATAAGATCAATCATTTGGATAAGGACAAGGTAGTTTGATCGATCGAAGAATGATGTTGGATCGATCGAACTTTTGAGATCTCTGAAAATGTCATCATGGCTCTGATCCATCTTGAAGTGCTAAGATCGATCATGTTGGATCGATCGAACTTTGATCTGAGATCGATCATAGATGTTGAATTCCACCTTTTGCTTCCTTTTGCTTCCACTTGGCTCCCTTATTTGATTCATCCCAGAATTGCTTCATTTCTACTTTTATTTTGCTGAGTTAGCTTATTTTCGGGATAAGTGCCTGAAAATAGAAATAACACGAAATCAATCTAAAACGGTAAAGTAAGATAGATAAAGGTATTAGAATACCTAAGCTAAAGGGGTTTAAATACGCATTTTTCAACGCTCATCATTAGGATTCTAAATTATGTTTTGGGACTGTAATTATGATGCATTTGGACTAGACGGTATGTGGTTGATGTACCAAGTAATGAACTGTGTTGGGGTATAATGAATGGATGCACAAAATGTTGGAATGTGGTATATTGCTGTGTTTTGGGACAGGGTAAATAAATTTTAAGGTCCAAGTGAGGCCATTGTATTCTTATATTTTTGCAGCACGTCGTAGTAGGACTTTTTCAGCAGAGGTCATACCAAAATTTTGGGTCATTACAAAGGGGTTTTATGCTATACACCTAATTGCATTAATTTAGCTAAATTATTCAAACTTTTTCTTGAATTATAATATTTGAACTTTTTTTTTTGTTTCATGCAATGCTATACTTTTGATTAAAAAAAAAAAAATCATCAAAACAATAATTAATAAATAAATTCATAGATATGAGTATGATTACAAATAAGTTCAAATCTTATATATTTTACTCATATTATATATTATATATACCTTTAATGTCCCAGATTTTTCTGAATTTTTCTTTTATTTATTTTCTGTGCCACATTTTGCGTGTCACGTGGGTTTCGAAGGTCGTTCGGGACATTTTCATGAGTTCGGGAGTTTTGGGAATGCATTTCATTTATTTTATACATGTTAGAATTTACGGAATGGATTTTAGAATTTTTCAGAGTCGAGACCGACTTTTGTGCATGAGAATTCTTCATGATTTTTCATTTCTAGTTACTAGAATGAGACACATGCAATGCACTTAAATAAAATAAATAAGCATTATGAGATTTTTTATTTTTTAAATAATTATGATATATAACATTCAAAATTTAGTAAAAAAAGAAAATGAAACTCTCTTTATCACTTCAAAGGAAAAAAAAATGTTATATATATATATATATATATATATATATATATATATATATATATATTATTGTAACGACCCGAACCCGAGGTCGTCTAAGGGCACTATGGTAAATTCTAAGGTTAATACATAATATATGTGACATCCCAAGGCTTATACAAAACAAATGAGATCATAAATACAAAAGATGATAAAACAGTCCACTAACCCATTCAAACCTATGGAGGAACGTCATCCGCCACTTCCTTCCTGTGACCTGAAAAATGTAATAATATGATGGGGTGAGCTCAACAGCTCAGGAGGTCATGCCTAAAACACCGATTTTGGACTCCCTTGAGCTAACAACCAAAGAACGGGAAAAAAGATGTCGGATCATACATGGGGAATTATCAAAATCATAATCCACGTCATTCAATTTTAAAAAAATTATCATCACATAATCAGTCATAATCATAGGTGCCAAAATGCTATGAAATGCAATGCATTGCGTAACCATCCCGAGCTTGTGATGTGTGGATATGATGTGATGGCATGTGAGTAGAATGGGTGTGGCGTGTGGTTGCATTGGACATTTCATACATTGCATTGTATGTGGATGGTAATAATAATTAATTGAGAATGGATGTGTTGCATGTGAATCCCTCGCATGGTCCCTTGCTCCTTCTTCCTATTCATTGTATATAAGACATGTGATTACTTACTTTGTTTGAGGAGATGTCTCACTTAGGCGATCTCTACTCAGCCGTTGTATTCACTTCTCTACATTTTTCAGATTATGGGGAAGAGTTGGTGGATGTTGATCCTCCACATGCATAGACGGGATTTTGTACTATTATGTTTATTTTGAAAAGTTTTAAACAATTTTATGTAATTGTTTTATAGTCATGACTTGACTATATAATGGAATGGAATTATATGGGCATATGTGAAGCATGAAGGATGATTAGGTGACTTCTTATCCTTTTGTATCATTTTATAGTTGAACCTTATACCAGCTTGTTATACATGTTTTGGACCATTTATGGATGTTGTCGAGACATATTTACACAATAGTTGAGCTCACAAATGAGTCCGATTGTATAACATGCCATAGATGCCTTATGTTTTCATATTCAGCAGCATTTCAAGGCCTATCGGCCGGCTGAGGATGCATGCCAGCCGACCAACAGTGCATTTTATGCGCAGACATAGACTTGGGTTCTTAGATTAGTCGTTTCGTCCAACTAACCAGCATTATCAGCTGACAGACCCTTCTCTTTCAGCCGACTGACACAGAACTGTCAGCCAGCTAAGAACCCTTTTTGGGAGAAGCCGAGACCATAGAACTTTTAGCATCGTTTCAGCCGGCTAACACAGGTCTGTCAACCGACTGATCACCCCTGTCCAATTACCATTTCACCTATCTCCAGTCTTTGAAATTGAGATGACTTATAGACTTTAAAATAAATGTAAATTAATTTTGTTTCCAAATTGGAAATAAGTGGAATGCACTGGATGACCTCAGGTTCGGGTAAGAACTCGGTTAGTGATTCGAACCCCCAGGTTTGGGTCATTACAAATATCATGGTGTGGACACTTTCTTAGAAGATCATTGTATCTCTCCCAAGAATCATGAAGTTGTTCACCCGGGATTTGGTGGACTACATGATTTGTCTTCTCATTTGTGTGGTCTTACCCACAGTGTAGTACTTTTTCAAAAACTTTTGTTGCAACTTATCCCATGTGCCTATGAAATTATTTAATAGGGAGTGCAACCAAGTTCTTGCTTTCTCCTTGAGAGAGAATTGGAAGAGTGTCATCCTAAAAGCATCATCAGAGAGAGTGGACAACTTAGTAGTTGAACACAATTCGAGAAACTCATCTAAGTGCTTATAGGGATCTTCAGTAGCAAACCCATGTAATGAAGGGAGCATTTGGATCATAGAAGGCTTGATCTCAAAGTGGGTTGCATTAGTGTCTGGGAATTGGAATCATGAGGGGGAAGTGTATGAAGTGGGAATGTAATGGTCCCTCAGTGTTGTGGGAGCAGCAGCAGGTGGTACTGCTACTCTCGGTGCATTTTCGCCTTCAATGTTAGCCATGTCTGATTTAGAGGATTCTCCTAACAAGTTAGAATTCTTTTTAGGTTTATTAATTCGCCTAAGAGTTCTCTCTATTTTAGGGTCGTATTCAAGTGATGGATATGACAAGGAACGGCGACCCAACATGCACTATATTCCAATGGTGAAAACAGTAACAAAAATAAAATTTCCCAGTAAAGAAATAAACTAGCAAGAACTCACAAAGGTCTTGAAACCGCAGCTTCCGTTCCTTAAGCGTCGTTGTCACGACCTGAAAATTCTAATAAAATCCTCAATTTATACAAAATCAGGTACATTAAAATACACCCAGGATTAAAAAAAAAATGTCCTCTTTTATACAAAGTCAATTTCCTTAAATATACACAAAAAAATCTCCAAATAAATAAATAAAATCCTGTAACACCGACTCTTTAGCCTAAGCTTGAATCTAGCAATCCCCATTCATCTTCAGTACTTGAAACTGGAGGGTGGTGAGACTGAAAGTCCCAATAGGAAAAACCATAATAAGAATTTCATGGAGGTTTAATAAAACAACTTCACAAAATATACATAATCATGTGAGTATATAAACAAAATAAATATATATTTATTCAAAACATTTAATAAAAACCATTGAAACAAAATCACTCCAAGCCATTCAAGATATAGAGAACCCTACACTGAAAAAGAATTTTCTTTACTGGATCAACAAAGCCAGCTCCAAACCTCCTTTGCAACCCTCGGCTCCTCACTGTTCTCGAACATTCTCTGTCTTTCAACTTTGCTCTCTTTCTTTCAATACCCATCAGTGCACAAAACACACACTAAAATAAGCAATTTCACCGAAATCAGCCAACAACCCCATGTGCAAAAAGCTAAGCAAAGACCAAGTGGGTCCCAAATCATTACAACTTTTCCTTCTCTCGTCAACCTGCTCCCTCTACTTCTTATCCCTCTTTGTCAACAACCTCAGCCCACCACACAGAACAATTACACCTTGCAACAAAATAATTGAACCCATTTCTCTCTCCTTCTCATCACCACACAATCCTACTTTCAGCTTACCAAACAAACAAAACCCACGTGCAGAAATCAAGCCCAAGTCAAAAAGTGGTCTACCAAAATCTTATCATTTCATATACCATGTGAAGGCAAAACAATTTTGCCCAAAAGTCAAGCCTAAATAATAACATTGTGGGCCCCGCAAGTACACACCACCATTATTAAAATTTTCTCTCTCTTCCCACTTCGGCCACCTACTCACATCTCCTCATCTCTAATTTCCACCACACCTTCTCTTTCTTTCCACTTCACAACATACACAAAAAAATATATATATATATATATAAATTTACAAAAATAAAGCCGCATAAAAAATTTTGTGGGACACACACTATCACCATCACAATAGTTTTCTCCATTTCCACTCAGCAGCCACCCATTTGCTTCTCTCTTCTGCAAACAAAATCACATATACATATATGATATATATACATATATATATAAATGAAACAAAAACAAAATCCAACCCCATTAAACATCATTTTGGTGGGACCCGCCAACCATTACCACTTCTTTTTCCTTTTCCCATTCAGCTACAGCATCACCATTTGATGCCAAAAAAAAAAAAAAACCCTGTACAAAACTCCCCTAACTTAATAAATAAATAATTAAATAAAATTAATTTATTAAAATTAACACTAAACAATAAAATATTAATATCCCAAAATCACTAATAAAAATAATAATTAATCAACCTGGGCTAAAAATCATAAAATTTAAAATCTTAAAAATCCGGGTTATCACAGTCGTCGTCCTCGCTGCTAGATTCATGCACTTGAAAAGAAAAAGAATTTAGGTGTCAGAAAGTCCTAAAATTATAAAATAAAGTAGAACTAATCTCGAACTCAATATAACCATTACACAGTCCCCGGCAACAGCGCTAAAAATTAATATGTTAGAATTTATACCACTCGCAATAGTACGAATCCTTTATAGGATAAGGCTACTTAGAGGGGTCGAACCCCAGTGACTATGGTGGTTTTATCAAGTTTTCAATTACTTACTATTTTAATTTAGGACAAATATTTGTTTGTTGTGTTGTGATTCAATAGCATAAATAAAAATTAAACTAAGTAAAAGGATTGAGATCAGAGATAGAAGATCTTAGGGATTGACTTCACCACGAACCTCATACTATGGTCAACTGTTCAACCTTGGGATTTCAATATCATGTATAACTCAGAATTAAACTCAATAACATTCGTTTAATTCAATTTAAAGAAAGATGAATCATGAATTTCAGTTAATAATAATTTATCTTCGATTAGCACGAATTATCTAGCTACCTACTTCTAACTAATGTTTTAGTATAACCCGTCTTCCCTAAATATAGATTTTGAAACATTCATTCATAAAAAACATTTGAATACCATTGTATGATCTCTATTCTTATTATCTGAGAAACCCCTTAGCCGCCAATCTCACACAATAAGAATAGATTGAATTCGATTTTAGAAGAATCAAATCTAAGACAATGTATTAATTTCTCAAAAACTAATTTATTTAATTTAAAATCATAATTACTTAGAAGATCTAAGTTAATTGGTCAAAATCATGCCATCAACTATACATTAACAATTAAAATCCCAAAGTATAGAACAATCAAACCATAGTAATCAAATTCGAATTACATCAATGCCCTAAGAGAGGAATTAGCTACTCATGATGATGGAAGATATCATCTGTGTTGTTGTAAACTTTATCATCATGGACTGCAGTTTTCTTCTGAGGATCTTCACCTTCAATGCTTAAGAGAATCTTGAGAAACCCTAAAAGCCGCCACTAGATTTAAAGAGTAAAACTAGCTAGAATTAACGAAAGAGTTTTTCTATGGCTTTGTACATCGTTTATAGAAGTAACTGACTTCTATCAATGATTGGATGGGCAATTAGGTCTTCTGGGGTCATCTGGGGCCCGTCTAGGACTAAGTGGGACTTAATTATAATTAATCCCGCAATTAAAAATTATGACTGAAGAGGAAAGGCTCGAGCAGAGAATCTTCTGCTCGAGCTTTTTAGCTGGTGCTCAGGAATTCTATACTTAGCCAATTTTCTTCACTTTATTTCCGAAGCGTCTTTTTCATCAACACTTAAAAAATCTTTGGACTTCTTCTTCAAGGTGCTCAATCACCTTGGCTAAAGTGCTTGAGCCTTTTGCATTCTGCTCAAGCTTTTTGGATAGTGCTCGAGCATTTTGAATTCTGCTCAAGCTCTGGCAACTTGGAACTTCCGAACCGTCTTTTTATCTTCCAAGGGAGTTTATGCACTTTGGAAAAGGCTCGAGCACCTTGGACTTCTGCACGAGCAGGAAAATCTCTGCTCGAGTATTTTTGCCTTGGTGTCTTTTCTTGCTTTAATCCACTTTGTGCTCGAGCTAGGAAACTTGTGCTTGAGATTTTGCACTTAAAGTTTTCCAAAATCACCTTTTTGACTCCAAATTTGCTTCAGATGATCGAGAACAACTCCATAAGCCTTGATATCAGTCTTTAAGTCCCTAGAATCCTGATTTTATCATTTTCTTTGAAGTACCTACAAAAGTAAATAAACTAAAATCGGTCTAAAACTGGATAAAAGTATCACCTAGTGTCTTAACATACGCACGTTTAGGGACTCGAATATGCATTATTCAGCGTTCATCACCATCTAACCGGTTAGATTCCCCATCTAACCGATAACATGGCCTTGGCAGTAGTATTGTAAGTGATTAGTCATTTATCTGTGTGTACAGATCCCCGAAGTATGCGCATAGATGAGCAAGTGTGCGTACAGATGAGGCAAGTGTGCTTACAAATTGGGTTTTGGTTTTCTTTACACAGCCACTGGAATGTCATATTAGGATGACCAAAGTGTGCGCATAAATGATCATTTATGCGTATAGATCCACCACATGTGCACACAGATGATCTAATATTCACTGTTTGATCCCAACTTTCTGTATAATTACATATTTGACTCCAGATTTCAACCAAAGTACAGAATGACCTTAGAAAATGACAGAATTACCCCTGAAGGTATGAATGTTATATTTTTACTAGTAAATGACTATTTGCCCCTGAGGGCTTTTATATCACTATTTGGCTATGGTAAAGGACTATTTTACCCTTTTGGATCCTATGTTATTAATTGACCACGTAAAAGAACCATTATACCCTTGTGAAACCTAAGAGCATTAGAATGATGTGAAACAACCACAAGGCCCCCGGATCTCACTTGAATTATTGGATGACATTAGTAAATGACGGTTTTACCCTTAGTGGACCTTAAAGTATTAAATTAATATGAAATGACCATAGTACCCTTGTGTCACCTCGGGTCCGGGTAAGGACCCGGTTAACGATCCGGATTCCCGGATTTGGGTCGTTACAATAAGATTGCAACTAGTCAGAGATTATGTAAAACATTCCTAAATCAATAGAACTCTACCCAACCCAATAAGAATTTGAGACATAATAAACAATAGAACTTCCTCTACATTTCTGATGTAGCACAATAATGAATAAGATGAATCCATTTTGAATTTTAAATATAATAGATATTTATTCATAAGGTATTGTTGTATTATTATTCATAAGATGGGAAGCTATAGCTAGGTACACACATCTTAATTCTAAAGGCACCAAAGTCTAGAGAAAATGAGAAAAGAGTTATTGAGTTGATAAAAAATAAAACTCTACTATCTTAACATATCCTCGATAGTTATGCTCATCTCAGCATGGGATGAAATTGGTAGCCCTATTGGGTTGTTGTCTGCTTGCTCCTCGATTGACATATCATTGAAATAAAGGTAAGGCTTGGGAGGCATTTGCAACAGCTCCTCCTCCCCTTCTAGCATTTGCAGGACTTCGCTCATGGAAGGACGATCCATAGGCTTCAGTTGTATGCACCAAAATGCAGTTATAATCATCTTCCTCACAGAACTCTTTTCTTGTTCAGTGGCATCTCCCAACTGTAAGTCCTCACCTTGACTGATATGATCATAAATCCAATATGGGAAGTATATTTGACTAGTGTGCTCTGCATTTGGATTCACATTTTTCCTTTTCCCCACCATTTCCATCAACAGCATACCAAAGCTATAAACATCAGCCTTATATGATACACCTCCAATATTCTTATAGAACAACTCCGGAGCAATATATCCAAGTGTTCCCCTTGCTGCAGTGAGAGAGACAACACTATCATCGGTGGGGTACAATTTTGCAAGGCCAAAATCTGAAACTTTTGGGACAAACTCTTGGTCAAGAAGAATATTGTGAGGCTTGATATCAAAATGTAGAATTTGCATGTCACATCCTCGATGCAAGTATTCAATCCCTCGAACCACTCCAACTGCGATCTCATACATTCTCTCCCAACTGAGCAATGGCAAATTCTTTTCTCCTCGTGAGAAAATGAACTTATCAAGAGATCCATTAGGCATGAAGTCATATACAAGAGCTTTTTTAGATCCCTCTACACAAAATCCAATCATTCGCACCACGTTAACATGATGAATCCTTCCGATTGTGCCCACTTCACTAATGAAATCTTGTCCATTAGATTTTGACATGCTCAGTACTTTTACTGCTACAAAATCACCACTTCGAAGCTTGCCTTTAAACACGGAGCCATATCCTCCTTGACCTAACTTATCCGTGAAACTTCTGGTCATCTGCTTTATATCTGAATAGGAATACCTAATTGGCATGAAGTTGTTTTGACTTTGGAGAAAATTTTCAATGGTATCATCGATGGACAAGTGTCTTTGTCGGAATCTATATGCCAGCAATATAATCAAGCATAACAACCCAATTGAAATCTTTACTATGATGTACACTCCTGTGTGAGAGAGAGAGAGTAGATATTAGAATTTATAGAATTAATTGGTCATATGCAGTGAACAATATATTTGCTTTTAATATTGAGACTATTATGAGTTTTTCGTTGGACATATGACTTTTTTCCCTCAGGGCAGCCAAGTTAATATGTGAGAGAGCAACTTGAAGTTTAACTCACCTGCGGTGGCGATCATGTGGACTGATGGACGAATCACCCAGAGAAGGGAAAAAAAAAAAAAATTAGCAATATCAAAATGAGGTTTAAAATCAATTAAACAAAAGAAATTAATGGAATGACGATAACCATACTTCTGTACTGATACTGAAATTTGTATTTAATGTCTTCAAGAAATAAATTTAACCTGCATTCAACCGAGTCAATTGAAATTAGTATTATGCGACAGAAGCTAGCAGGCAAGCTAGCTGTGTATATATATATATATATATATATATATATATATATAATTTGTTTTGTGTGTGATTATAACAACAACTATCGATATGCATTTGATATCTCGACAGTACATACCTATAACTAAATGGAATTTTCCATTTGTAATGAGAAGGCCAAATACTAAGCTGAAATCCTCGAAGCAACTCCTGATGAATATCAGAAATAGTAGTGAGGTTCCAATGGGGTACTTCGATGAACGGATAGACAATGTTGATGGTGCAGAAGTCATCGATTTGAAATGAACTTCCAACATTAAGTACAACATACGATGAAGAAGAAGTGCTGCTGCTGCTGTTGACACAAGAAGAAAAATCTACGTACTTGGCAGAAAAATCTTCGTCCTGATCTGAAGAATTCATGACCGGGCTTGCACAACTCACAAATAATATCACAGGGATGTCATCATTATATTCCATAGAGCCATAGAATAGAGAGAATGGGAACGATTTGCGAGGAATAGAGCAGTGGTCGTTGTTGTTTATATTGACATCCACTAATCTTATTGTTTGGTTCTCATAAGAGATCTCTAGGACATAGTATTTGACTCCATACAAGTCCAGAGTTGTTCGATTGTTCTCACAAGCCAGTTCGTGCTGACCATCACCGCAGGTAGGGGCATCGCCTTTCAGGTGAAAAGGGTAGCTGATGTTTCCAATGTTTCCGCAAGAAGAAGGGGAGCACGGCTTGTATTCTATTTCCTGGGCAATATAAGCTTCAGGAAATAGAGCAACTACAAGAACCATAACCCCAATTATACTACTAATAAATCTTAATAATGCTCTTAACGACATCATATGTAAATTCATGCTTTTGGGCATTTGCGTATGGCTCAGAGAAAGAGAGAGAGGGTGTGAGAGAGAGATTTTCCAATGCCTGCTAGCGAGTTCGATTAATATGAAGATGGCTGCAATTAAAGTTATAGCTAGTCTGAAAAACCAAAGACATGCAAGCGAAAGAGGGTGACTTAAAATTAGAAGTCAAATAACATTATTGATCAGTTTTGGAGAGAAAGGAAAGTTTGAAGGGAAAGGAAAAAGAATAGTAGAAGCACGAATAGAGTTTGAGTAAATGATAGGGAGTTTGATGGGGCTGATATCATATTATATATATATAATGATGTTCGGAATATTAATGATGTCATGATCAGGTAACTATTCGTGTAAATCCGTCGAATTTTGATAAGAATTATAATGAAAAGACCGAAAAGAAAAAGACGATGGAATTACTACAAGGAGGGAAATGGAAGAGGCTGTTTCATTACAATTTTGTGCCCTTCAAACAATTAATTAACTCCTTTAACATCAATTTCCTTCTTTCCTCTACTCAAAATTGAATACTTAATCAAGTAGTAGCATACACAAGATCTGCTTAAACTCTACATATGAATATACTGTACGTTAAATAAAAATTTTATTAACAGCTATATACTGAGACATCTATCATTCCATTCACAAGAGAAAAAAGAAGAAGAAAAATAAAAAAGTTTTATTTCTTGCTCCAGCTGAAAGTTCTTGAAGAAAGAAATAAAATAAAAAATAAAAATAAAAAGAAAAAGAAAAAAAAAGAAAAAAAAAAAAAGAAAAAGAAGGGCTTCTGACAAGTCAAAGTCACTAAAGAAAAAGAAGATAAAGTAAAGTAAAGTGGACATTTTGGTAAAAAAGAAGTGGGAAACGTGGAAGAATGGGAAATATGATAGAATTTTGCTCAAGAAAAGGAGATTTGCCCAAAAGCCCTTTTTCTTTTTCTTTTTTTACTCACTTTTGTTCTTTTTTTACTCACTTTTGTCATTTCAGTCCTTTATTGTTAACAAGAAGTGCAGGCGAACAATTGTTGATATGGTCATCAGCACAGCTAATATGATATCCTGTGCCAGTGTGGTGCTTGCCATCAATGCATTAATCTCTAGTCCATCTTTTGCCAATTAACTACAAGTCTATTTAGATAAGTAATAACCCACAATGCTCCTTGTTTTTCTTTTTTCCTTTTTATTCAAGATGAAAATTCGAACGCAGACACAACCATTCGAAGAATTAGACATTTATACATGTCCAAATTTCAATAATTGCTAATGACCGGCTCCTGCTGATTAAAGTTCCTGAAGAAAAAAAATAAAAATAAAAATGGGTCTTCTGTCAAGTCAAAGTCCACTAGAGTAAAAAGAAGATAAAGTAAAGTGGACGGTTTGGTAGAAAAGAAGTGGGAAAAGAAAAGTGGGAGAACAGGAAAGATGATAGAATTTTCCTCAACAAAGAGAGAATGAAAAGAAGGAGATTAGAATTTTCCATGCCAATGTGGGGCCTGACCCACAACCACAAATACATATATATATATATATATGCATGCTTGTACAGTTGTACATGCCCAAATGCCCTATAATTGAACAAAAATAGGTATTGACCAGGGTTTTTTTTTTCCCCTCAAACAAAGGTACAACACAAGAAACCAATAACCAAAATTTACCACTACGGAAATTAACTATTTTACATGATATTGTTCTCCTTTTGTCACATTTTCTTGAAGTCTAAACGTTTACCTGGGAAATAAAAATTAAAAAAAAAAAGGTTAAGAGTCCCGAGGGCGTGGTGACCGCTGGGGAGAATTCCGGCAGACCGGACAGGTAGCATTCAAATGGAGCCATTCATCAATGCAATTGGCATGGAAGCAATGTTGACAATCAGGTAAGCTCCTCAGAGTCTCCTTGGGCCGGTACTCGGACAAGCAGATTGGACACGTGGTCTCATCGGGCTTGGGCAGCCGTCGGCTCTCACCCAGTATTGTTTTTGGGTAGGACTCTATAGTGAGCCCATCGAGGCCCGAAATGATGGTGGGCTGTGGAGCAATTGTGGATGTGAATTCTCCTGTGGAGTGGTTCCTCCTATTATAGGATTTGACCCTGCCAAAAACATAACAAAAAAGCCCAACATGACACAACAATGCGGGTACTCCCGCCCCAACGGTGATTGCATATCGAGCGCTCCTCGGAATTCCTAAAAACAACATTCGAGTTTAAACGTCAGTGAATCATAAAATATAATCTTAAAAACCATCACGAGGACACTCTCACGAGAACTCACCATTTGGATCAAGAACTTGTTAAATTACAAAACTCTTTAGAATATTTTATTAATTTTTTTTTAATCCACTTTTCTTAATCAAAAAGTTTTGATTGAACTGGACTACATGATTCACGACCATCTAATACTCTTGGGGTGATTGATGCAGACCAGTTGACCTAATCAAAAGAACAATTCTCATCCCATTATTCCATAAAAATCAACCATTTTTATACAGTGAAGTGTAAACACAGCGTTCTTGGTTTTCTCTTAAACTTCTACTTTCCATCTTAAAACACCATATTGTTAAATAAAATATATATATTTAAAAAAATAAGAATTATCTTTAAGAAAAATTATCTTCTTAGTGTTTGTTTCATCTATTGCATTGTTAAATTAGTTTCTGAATAATAGAGAAGAAGAAAAATAAAGTAATTACTAAAGAAGTGCAGTAATTAAGAGTGACTTTAAGAAAAGAGTCGTTCGTGTCTATTTGGTCGTACCTATATAGCATTATTCTAAAAGAGGTATAACTGAAAACCTCTTTTACAAAATTTAAAAAATTATATAGAATTCTATGAAAATATTCCTTTTAGTTTAATTAAATTTTCAGAAAATAAATTTAGAAAGTATCAACCAACCAAACAAGTTTTTGTATAAATTTTTTATTTTCATTTCTTAATTAGAAAACAATAACAAGACAACATTTGACAAATATTTATTCAAAAAATGATATTTCATCAACTCAAATCTTATCATTTAATACTTCGTCCCGGCTAATCTTCAAAGACTTCAATCTTCAAAGACTCCTGGAAGGACGCCTCCCCCACAAAAAAGTTTTTCTATTTCATGTCATTCTCTTTTAATTTTCATCTCTTTTACATTATCTTTTAATTAAGCTTTTTTAAAAAACATAAATAAAGAATCAAACAATGTGTACCTAACTCTACCAATGATCATCCCTCATTATAGTCCCTCATTACAGTCAGATTTGATTGATGTCATCGTGTTAATCACTATCTAGTCTAAAAATTTAAACTAACATACCAGATTAATTTAACTAGAATATTTATAATTTGTCACACTATATTCAATAATAAAAAATAAATAAATAAATTGAGTGTGTTAAAAGAAGTTACCATGTTGAGGAGCATTAAAGCATCCAATTTCACGACTTGTATTACTCTTGAACCCACACCTTCCACCCCTTGACTCGCACCTACCACACTTGGGTGCAACCCAAGTGAGCCGAAGATCATCACTGAGGTCCGATGACCGAACCTGCTCATAAAAAGGCCGCTGAACCGGCACAGTAATGGTTCCAACCAGACTGCACTTGGCTGACAAGGACCTAATAGTTCCGGTATGAGACGTGATAGAACACGCCCACGAACGGAGAACCGGAGAGGTTTAGCGAGCGCAGACGTGCCGGGAGGCAGTTGTTTGGATCATTAATCCATATTTCTTGTGTGCCGTAGTCTATACTCTGGACTCTGAACTGTTCTGAATTTGGCAGCTTAATGAGTGTTTGGTTTGTGGCGTCACATGAGAGTCCGAAACCGGGATAGCCGCAGGGCTTCGGTTGGCGGTTTGGGAGCCGGAAAGGGAATCGGATCAAGGGCTCGCTCCGGCGACAGGCGGAGTTTGAGCAGAGTAGTGTGCTTGTCACCACCGTGTATGAGGAGGAGGAGGAGATGAAAAAGAGGAGGAGACAGAAGGTATTGGTTTTGTGTGTATCCATTGGGCGCGTTGGTGGTTTGGGCCTGAATTTGCTTTTAAATTGATAACATTCCCATTGTAGGGTCCATCAGATATAACGAGATTGGGACATTTTCCAGCTACACGTAAATGGTCTGGTTTGTTGGTCAACGATAACCCAGCTATCTCATAAAATGTCAGCTAGAACATAACACGAGGACTAAAATGCAAACTCACGGTGACGACACACTTTCACACGAAATTGGAGGACATTTTGTATCAACTTGTATTTTTAATTAAGAGGAATGATATTTAGATTTATTTACCTTGTCAAATAATTTTATTTAGGGTAATTTTCACATATCTCTTTTATAGTTTATCATAATTACAGGCAGCACTCTTTCTGTTTTAAAAATTACGTGAACTTCTCCTATTTTTAAAAATATCCTACACGAACCTCCCTTACGTATGACGGACCGTTAAATACACTAATGGAGCTATCAAAATTACTGAAATACCCTCTCCTTGGCATCTGAAATTACGAAACTACCCCCATAAATTATTGAGTAGGCATGAAGTCACATTTGTGTTTGGGCTGCAAGTTTTCTCTCTCTACAAGATTTAGTTATTTATCTCTCTACAAGATATCCTCACAACGCCGTGACCACCACCACATCTGACACGACCACCTCTGTATTTCCTTGTGCATGGTCAAAATCTATTGCGAATCTATCCAAGTATTGATGCAAACAAAATTTCTGAAACAACATAAATTGCCCCATGGTATACGCCTTTTTTTTTTTTTCTTTTTCCAAAGATGCTGGAAACACTTTATGGAAAATAAAGAGGCACAAAATAATACTCTATCAAGAACTTCTCTCTCTTACTAGATTTTTCTCTGCATCTTCGCAGCTTTCTTATTGAGCAATCCAATAATTCCTAGCTACAATCTCAACTGGTTGTGAAAATTGATAAAACCCTAAATGAAATCAGAAATAAACCCTAATTTTACAAATAAAATTGAGAAGAAAAAACCTAAAATTCTTAGGTGAAAAACCCCAATTTTAAATACATATATACCCAAATTGCTTTATATATATATATATATATATATATATATATATATATATATATATATACACACACACGCGCGCGCGTATATATAGACACACCTCAAATAAAACCCAGATCTAAAGAAAAGACTAAGATTGTGGTGCACGCGCACCCACACATATATATATATAATGATGTAACAGAGAAGAAGGTGGAGCTTAAGGACGGTCTTGATGAGATATTGCTACTACCAAAAGATGATCAATTATATATATATATATATACACACACGCGCGTATATATAGACACACCTCAAATAAAACCCAGATCTAAAGAAAAGACTAAGATTGTGGTGCACGCGCGCCCACACATATATATATAATGATGTAACAGAGAAGAAGGTGGAGCTTAAGGACGGTCTTGATGAGATATTGCTACTACCAAAAGATGATCAATTGATATATATATGTGTGTGTGTGTGTGTGTGTGTGTGTTTGTGTGTGTGTGATTTGGGAAGACTTTCCGCTTCTGTTACACCTTCTTATTTCATCTTCTAATTTTATTCCTTTAAATAAAATTCCATACGTTTGCCTCAGCCGGAGAGCAGAACAGTTGTGTGTGTGTGTGTATATATATATATATATCAATTTGTAAGGATAGGGGTATTTTAGGAATTTTAGTAAAAATAGTAGATGATGTCATCAATTTCCGTCGTTGACTGCCGTTGACTCTAACAGAAGGGAGGTCCGTGTAGGATATTTTTAAAAGTAGGGGAGGTCCGCGTAATTTCCGAAGCAGAAAGGGTGCTGCCTGTAATTATGGCAAATCATAGGGGAGGTCTGTGTAAATTACCCTTTTATTTATTTTGTAGAGTGAATATTCAAGCGTGAGTTCTATTCACTATATCAAAGTGATAAGACTTTTCCATCATATAGGTTAGACAAATCTATTTAAGAATTATTTTTCTTCGAAGGTGTTTGCAACGTTTCTTGATTCATTTAATATTAAAAATACGAGCTCATCGTGAGAACACAATTTTATATGAATTCACATTTATAGCATGCTTTCACATGAACTCGTGCTTTTACAAGTACATTTTCACATGAACTTGTATTCTTAATTAATGTATACAGAGATTTCGATAACATTTCTCGATTTATTTATTAGAAATATGAATTTAGACCGAGGACACACTTGCTTATGAACTCATATTATAATTAATGTATTGAATTTTCGATTTACTCACTAAAAATATAAATTAATTATTTCTCAAAATTGTTACATATTTTGATTCATTCATTGTTCTAAAATGAGAGTTACAACTAGTTACATCGTTAATTGAGACACCCCACAAAAATATTGTGCCCCAACCTACTATTGGAGGCTCAATATTTTTGCCTGGTATATGTGGGCAATGACAAAGCCACAATTTTTTTCAAATACCAAATTGATTGAGTGTTTATGACCCATTCAAAACTTTTGCTGATTCTCGAAGCCATACAAAATCAAATAATTCATTAAAAGTTTCTACTTTGAATTAAAAACAAATGCATTAATGATTTGTCATACATCATAATGTACGATGGGAACAGATTGATCAAAATAATATAGTTGACCATACTTAACGGTCATTCTGTTAAAATATGTGAATGAAACTTGTCTGCACGTGCATATGACTTTGGTTATCTATCTATCACGTTAGACTACAACATGAATGTCAATGATTGCAATGTGAATATATTAAAACGTGACCAGAGCTTTTGTGAAGTGGTGTGTAATCCATCAACTATTGACTTTTGGTTATTCACGGCAAGAGGTTCCAAAACACAAGACGTGATTGTTGGAATGAATTAATCTGGAAAGTTGCGATGAATGGTTGTATTAGTTGGGTGAAGAGACACAACCAAATCAAGAGACGCCATATTGTCTACTTACCACATATGTCATTTGCAAAATGTTCAATTCTCTGATCTCTTCTTTCCCTCTTTAGATTTGAACCAAACACATGTGAGTTCAAGCCATGGTCAAGTGGTCTGAGCCACTTAGGCCCAAAACCAATTTCATTGAACCACATTAAATTTGGTCCAAGCCATTTGATTCGGATTGCACCCAATTCATTTTTTATATAGTACAAATGCATTTTTGTGTCAGAGAGAGTATTACACGGAAGAGGTTCGTCGTATCCATGAGTTTGTACTGCTGCTACTGGTGGATGTAGACCGTTGTATCATGTGAGATCACTGAGTCTGTTAGCACCATAGCAAGGCGAATCTGTCTTAAGGACATAGTATCCAATACTAGACTCGGTTCAGGTTCTTTATTTATTATTATTATTTTATTATTTTAATTTGCATGTTTAAATTAAATATCTAGTTGTATATTTAATTAATTATTTTAGCATATTATAAATATCTTATGGCATATTAGTATAAGGTTAGTTATATCTTAAATATCATTTGAAGCATATATTTTACTAACAATCTTAAGACAGATACATTCTTTGCGTAGATTTTATTATATGTTCCTCTCCTGTGTAGAGGTTTCCTGCTTGTTCAGGTTTGGGGAGCGTTGGTCTCCTCTTTTTTGTGTGTTTGTGTTCTCTGGATTCTTCGGTTGGCTTTGCTGTTTCTCCGGTTGGGGCTTATGTTGTGCTTGCTGCTTTTTTTCATTGTTTCTAAGTGCTTTGTTTGCGGAAGGAAGGTTTTTCTCTGTTTCTGAGTTGGTGTTTGGGTGTATATTGGTTGATTCTCTTCGTTGTTCTATGGTTTTTGTTGGTTTTGGCCGTTCTGTTTGGTTTTGGTATTTTCCGATTTGCTTGGGCTGTTTTTGTTGTTTGATTGGTTTACTTTGGGGTTCGATGGTGTCGATTCTGTGATTCTGGTGTTGATCTTTGTCCCAGCATTGTTGGTTCGGTGGCGTCGCTGTTGTGGTTCTCCGATGGGGATACGTGGCGGCTTGTGGTTCATCAGTTTTGTGTGGCCGTGTGTTGCTTTGTGGTTCACAAGTTTTGTGGACTGGGCTTTTGACTGTTTGGCCCATAAGTACCAGGTTATATGTAACGACCCGATCCCGTTGGTCCGAACCGTTAGCCGGGTCCTTAACCGAACCAGAGGTCAACTAGGGACAACACCATTCTTTCCTACGTCAGTACATATTATACGTTTCATTATGGGTTTATAAAAAAATAATAATAATAATAAGTAATAATAAACAATAATTATAATAAAATGAGATTATAGTTACAAAGTATATCAAACGGTCTAATAACCCATCGAACCCTGTGGAGGAGCGTCGTCCGCCACTTGCCATCCGTGTCCTGAAAAATATTAAATATAAGGGGTGAGCAAATTGCTTAGTAGGTGGTGCCTAAGACACACCTCTTGTGACCCCGTGAATCTAAATAATGAATATGACAATAGGGAATGGAGTCATGCTAAATCGGGAAAACACAATATCAATTCCAAGTACAAAACAAACGGATATCGTGCCATAAATGCAATGCTATGCATGTCACTCCCCATTTTCAGAAAAACATCCATCGTTTTCCAAACTGTTAATATAACCCGTCCTTTGGTGACCCCGTAGTGACACGAGAGAAGGGTTGGCTACTGTCCCTGACCCTTGGTACCCCCGCGGCGTCATTTAGGGCCTAGATAGCTCAACCACGTTAAGGCAATCTCCCTAATTCCCTTTAGGCTGTATTAATACACCGGCCCTTTGGTGACTCCACAGCGACCGGGTTTTCTCAAAACCATTTTCTCAAAATTTCTTCCCAAAATCCCCTTTTCATTTTCATTTCAAACACTTTGCCCTTTTTATTTATGCCCAATGCTATGAAATGCATGTCACATATTTCTCCAAAAATATGGGCATAAAAGAAATTTACACTGCACAATTTAACATCCACTTTCATAACAACTTCTAGAAAATTAGTAGACATCGTAGGCATGTAAATTAACATCTAAGCATGCTTTTCACATAAATTCATCAACACATATAAGCATAGATTTCAAATATAACAAATATATCATTCTCAAGATAATTAACTCAAAATTAAACATACTTTACATAATTGTGGAGAAATTTCCATAATACTTCCATAATTAAGCAAGCTTTACAATAATTCTAAGAAAATTTTCGTAAGCTTCCATGTATCGTTTCTAACAATTTTGTCAACACAATAATATAAAGAAATTACAATAATTCTAAGAAAATTTTCATAAGCTTCCAAATATCATTTCTAGCAATTTTGTCAACATAATAACATAAAGAAATTAATAATGAAACATACTTTTTATACAAATCAGCAATTACACATATAATTATGAACTTTACACCCACAAGAAAATCATACTAGAGGTAATTAATTTCAATTAAGCATGTATCAAATAACAAGAATTGACTCACAAAGGAACAAGAGACCCCTACCTCTTAAGATGCAAAACCCTCAAAATGGGTCTCAATTTTCAAACTTCCTAGAGTGGCCAAAAGCTAAAATTGCTAGTATAGATTTGAAGATCTTGTTGTGGGCTTCAATTTGCCGCAAACGGCACTCAAAAATTCTAAGTATAGAGAGAGAAATCTAGAAGTAAAACTTTGAAAGAATGAAAAAAAGAAATAGAAAGAGGGAGAGAGAGAGTTCCAGCCCTTCCCCTGTGCCGACTATTGGCTGTCTGCTCTCTGTCCTCAAATTTTCTTTCCTTCTCTATATCTCTAATTCTCTTTTAGAAAAAAGAACAAAGTAACGTGCAGCCTAAAAAGAACTTTGGCCATACAATCTATTAGTGGGTCCCGCAAAAAGCCATCATCACATTTCTCTTTCACTTTTCCATTTCTTCATTTCAGCTGATAGCCCATTTGTTTCTACCTCTATCTAATACAAAATACAATATATATATATATATATATATATATATATATGTATAAAACACATGTGACAAAACCAATTCAAGACTTTAAATATCTTTCCTTGTGGGCCCCATTATACCATCACCCATTATCTTACCTTTCCTACTAATTTCGACCAGGTGCATCACCTTCCTTCACCAATTTGATACACTATATGTATATATATATATATATATATCAGTTGTAACAAAACTAATTCAACTCCTTAAGTATCATAAGTGGGTAAATCTCAAAAAAATAATAATAATAAATAAATACTCAATCTTGACAAATATAAATCATGAAATAAATATAATTAAAATATAAAAAAAAAAAAAAAAAAAATTGGGTTATCACTTTATAGGCCTTGCAGGCATATCTTACAGTTCGGGTGCTTCTATTTGGTCCAGATTGTTTTTTACACTTTCATTTTGTTGGCCCATTGTTGATCTAGTCATATACACATTCGCTTGGCATTTTCTATTTCTGGTATTCTAGCCTTTCTGTTATCATGATGCACTATCCGAATACATGGGCGGCCTCTTCTTCTTCTGTTATGTTTCGGCCTTTCCCCACTCCCTCTGATCCTTCTTCGTTAACTATTGTGCATGGCCAGTCCGACCGGAAGCTGTTCGTGCTACGATTTCTTCTTCTAGTTCCATACTGTTCCCTAATATTTTAGTTTGGAATTGCCAAGGTTTGGGATCGGCGGTGACAGTTCAACAATTGCAGCACTCATTCGTAAGTTTTCTCTTCCTATTGTTGGTTTCTTAGAAACAAAGAATAATAAGCGTCGCATTGATCAAATTCAACGTTTATTGGGGTTTCCTAATGCCTGTGTGGTGGAGCCTATGGGTTTGGCTAGGGGGATGGTGCTTTGGTGGTTGGAGGAGGTTCACTTGCAGATTGAGGAAATATCTCAGTTCTTTATTTCCGCTACTATTTCTTCACCGAATCAGACTTCCTAGACTTTGTCTCTTATTTATGCGAGTACTAATAAGAGTTTGCGGGCTATGCAATGGCGATATTTAACTAACCGGGCTCAGTCGTGGTCTGACCGTTGGGTGCTTATTGGGGATTTTAATAATATTCTTCATGCTTCGGAAAAGTGTGGCGGCCATATTCCGTAGGGTTGGCAGCTTAAGGCATTTCTAGTACTTTTACAAAGTTGTGCCTTGGTGGATATAGGGTTTACGGGTTTTCCTTTCACTTAGACTAACCAACGTGATGGGTTGGCCAACATTAAAGAGAGGATTGATATGGCAGTAGCGACCCAGGACTGGCTTGGTCTCTTTCCCCAAGCTCAATTGTCCCACCTCTCAGTAGTGGGTTCGGATCATCATGCTTTATTGTTAGCACTTCGGCCAGCCATTCCATTGCAAAAGTGTCAGTTTCACTTTGATGCCCGCTGGACTTTAACTGCCGATTGTGCTTCCATTGTTGCTGGGGCTTGGGCTACTCCTGTTCAGGGCTCTGTTCAGTTTCGTTGGGCTCAAAAGTTGAAGCATTGTAAGGCTAATCTATTACATTGGGTTAAAAACCGGCAATCTAACTCTTGCATTCAACTTGCTTGGGCCGAATCACGGCTTCGGGAATATCGAGCTAGAACTGTGGATTATAACTATTCCGAGGTTGTTCAAGCTGAGAAACTTTTAAGTTCTTATTAGTTAGAGGAGGAACTTTATTGGAAACAAAAATCGTGTGTTCAATGGTTGCAACATGGGGATCGCAACACCAATTTTTTTCATGCCACTACTAAAAGACGCCGTGCACGGAATTTTATTTCTGGTGTTTATGATTCCCATAATTAGTGGGTGGTTGAGGAATCTTCGTTACAAGAAGTGTTCTTGTCATTTTTCTAGAATTTATATTAGTCTTAGCATCCTCCTAACATTGAGCAGTTTTTACGTCATGTTCCATGTCGAATTTCAGAAGAGATGAATTCACGTCTTCTAGAGGTCCCGTCGGAATTGGAAGTGAAGCAGGTAGTATTTTCGATGGCACCGATGAAAGCCCCAGGACCTGATGGTATGACGCCACTTTTTTATCAAAAATATTGGGAGGTACTTAAAGTTGATATTGTCCGTGCTGTTGCTGGTTTTTTTGAAAATGGGAACTTGTTATCCAAATTTAATCATACTAATATTGTGTTAATTCCTAAAATTCCTACTCCTATACTTGTTTCTCATTTTTGGCCTATTTCTTTGTGTAATGTCTCTTATCGAATTATTGCGAAGGTTATGACTAATCGATTGAAAGGGATTATTGAATCCATTATCAGTGAATCCCAAAGTGCTTTTATTGCAGGTCGTCATATCACGGATAATATTCTTATTACTCATGAGATATTACATTATTTGAAGAATAAATGGAAGGGGCGCAATGCTTTTTTGGCGCCGAAGTTGGATATGAGTAAAGCTTATAATCGGGTTGAATGGGATTTTCTTTTCCAAATATTACATCATTTGGGTCTGAATTCCATTTGGATTAAGATGATTTCTGCCTGTGCTTCCACTATTTCGTATTCGTTGAAAATTAATAGGGCTTCTATTGGCTTTTTTCATCCTTCTCGGGGATTGCGTCAGGGTGATCCGCTTTCTCCGTATCTGTTTATTTTATGTGCAGAGGCATTCTCTTTGTCTCTTTTACGGGCTCAACAAGCATGCTTGTTGTTTGGGGTGCAAATTTGCAAGGGTGCTCCTTCCGTTTCTCATCTGTTCTTTGCCGATGATTCTAGTATTTTTTGTACAGCTAGTGAATCTGAAGTCTGGTTTTTAAAACATATTTTGATTGATTATGAACGAGCATCAGGCCAGCAAGTTAATTTTGCTAAATCATCAATTTTTTTCTCTAAGAACACTTCTCCCGATAATCGTCGTTTATTAAGTGCGTTATTAGGTCTGCCGGAGGAAGGGTTGCAGGCTCATTATTTAGGTGTGCCAGCTATTGTGGGTCGGTCTAAACGGGATGTTTTTCACTTTTTGTTGGATCAGCTGCAGGACCATTTGTCTTCCTGGAAGGCACAAACATTATCTAGTGGCGGTAAGGAGGTATTGATTATGGCGGTGCTGAGTGCTTTACCTACATATGTTATGGCTTCTTTTCGGCTTCCACGGATGTTATGTCTTGAATTAATGAAACATATTCGCTCATTCTAGTGGTGCAATAAAGGCAAGTCACGTTCCATACACTGGGTTCACTGGGATTTGCTATGTCGGAGTAAGAAATTGGGGGGGCTTGGCTTTCGGGATCTTGAGGCGTTCAATTTAGCGCTTTTAACCAAGCATGCTTGGAATTTTCAGGTGCGTCCGCATGGTTTAGCTTTTGAGCTTCTCAAAACCAAGTATTTTCCTAATTCTTCCATTTTGGATGCTCGGCTAGGGTATAATCCATCTTGGGGTTGGCGTAGTATTTGGTCTACTCAGCCCATTTTGCGTCGTGGTTTGCATTGGCTTCTGGGCAATGGCAAAACAATTCGTATTTGGCAGGATCATTGGGTGCCTGATTTTTCGGATTTGCTTCCCCGACCCATGGGTGCGGTGCCCTTTCGACTGGTGGAGGATTTGTTTTGTCTATACTCGGGGGCCTGGAAGGTGGATTTGTTACGTCAGTTATTTTCTCCAATGATTGTTCAAAAAAATTTACAATTGCATATTAGTCGTTGGAATATGCCGGATACTCTGATTTGCGCACCTGAGAGGCATGGGGGTTTTTCTGTTCGCTCTGCTTATATTATTGCGCGATCCTTTTCCAATCCGATCACGGTTTCCTTGGATAATTTTTCCTGGAGGTCGGTTTGGTGATGTCATACTCTCTCCAAGGTTCAGCATTTTTTTATGGCGGTGTTGCTTTAATGCCTTGCCTACTGGGGTATCGCTCTTGTTACGGGGTTGTGTGGCTTCTCCTATGTGTCCTCAGTGTGGGGTGGAGGAGGAATCGCTTGTTCATTTTTTTTTCTTGTGTTCTCATTCCTTTCAAGTATGGAAGCTCTCCCCTTTTCAGCTCAATTTTTCCACTAGGTCATTTAATTCATTTTTGGATGGTTGGAACTTTTTGATGTTACGGGCTAGGTTGTTGCCAGATCATTTCCTAGCTTTGGGGTTGTTGTCATTTTGTGTGTGGTATATTTGGAAATCCCGCAATCATAGAGTTTTTGATGGTGTCTTATGGGGTCCAGAGACGGTGGTGGCTAAAGCAGTTGCCAGTTTTTGGGAGTTTCAAGCAACTAGGTCCCAATGTGTTCTCTTGACTGCTTTTAGTCCTTCTTCTTCTGCTGGGTCTTGGGTTCCGCCTGCCGACGGGATGGTTAAATGTAACATTGATGCTAGTTTTCTTCCACAATCTTTCTGTGGTAATGAAGGTGCTGTGTTTCGAGACTCTCATGGAGTTATTCTTTATGTGGTGGTTTTTCGGCCTTTCATTGCTTCTTCGGCATTGATGGCTGAAGCGATTGCTTGCTTAGAGCGATTTTTTAGGCTTCTTCAGTTGGATTGCGATGTTTATGTTTTGAATCTGACGCTAAGGGTCTGGTTGACGCGGTGCAGGAGGGTTAAGTTTGCCCTTCAGAGATTGTTTCGGTTTGCTTTGATATTCGAATGGCCCTTCAGTCTTTTGATGTTGCTTCCCTGGTGCATATTCATCGTTCGGGTAATCGGCTGGCTCATGCTATTGCAATGATGTTTAGGCATGCTTCCCCTATTGATTATGAGCTGCTTCCCATTCCGTCTCAGCTTTCTGATTTAGCTCGTTTGGAGGCTTTGGATCTGCTTTCCTAGTGTTGTCTCTGTTGTTCTTTTCTTGTTGTGTTGTTTGGTTGTTTGGTTGTTTGTTGTGTTGTTCTTTGCCAGGCCAAAAAAAAAATATATATATATATAACATTCCTATTATAGGGTCCATCAGATATAACGACATTGGGACATTTTCCAGCTACACGTAAATGGTCTGGTTTGTTGGTCAACGATCACCTAGCTATCTCATATATATATATATATATATAACATAACACAAGGACTAAATACAAGCTCATGGTGACGACAAGTGACAACACACTCACATGAACTCGTAAAAATTGGAGGACATTTTCATATCAACTTGTATTTTTAATTAAGAGGAATGATATTTAGATTTATTTATCTTGTCGAACAATTTTATTTATTTTGTAGAGTGAATATTCAAATGTGGGTTCTATTTACTGTATCAAAGTGATAAGAACTCTTCCATCATATAAGTCAGACAAATATGTTTAAAAATCATTTTCCTTCGAAAGTATTTGTAACATTTCTCGATTCATTTAGTATTAGAAATACGAGCTCATCATGAGAATACACTTCTATATGAACTCACATTTATAGCACACTTTCACATGAACTTGTGCTTTTACGAGTATATTTTCACATAAACTTGTATTCTTAATTAACGTATACAGAGAGTTTGATAACGTTTCTCGATTTATTTATTAGAAATATGAACTTAGACCGAGGACACACTTTCTTATGAACACATATTATAATCAATGTATTGAATTTTCGATTCACTCACTAAAAATATAAATTAATTATTTCTCAAAATTGTTACATATTTCGATTCATTCATTGATTTAAAATGAGAGTTGCAACTAGTTACATCGTTTCTTTTATTATTATTATTATTATTATTTTATTATTATTATTATTTTTTTTTTTTTGGTCACCAAACAGAAACAAAAAAGATTATAAAACAGGGCAGAAACACCCAAACTAACAAAACATAAATCGGCCTCAATAGCTTGCCGAAGCCGAAAGGGCCAAACAGACCATTAGAGATCAAAACACTTTTGAGACAAAGCCCATTGACTAAGTTAGTTAGCCACTTAGTCAATTGAGACATCCCACAAAAATATTGTTCCCCAACCTACCATTAGAGGCTCTATGTTTTTGCCTGGTATATGGGGGCAATGACAAAAAGCCACAGGTTTTTTCAATTATCAACTTGATTGAGTGTTTGTGACCCATTCAAAACTTTTGCTGATGCTCAAAACCGTACAAAATCAAATAATTCATTGAAAGTTTCTACTTTGACTTAAAAACAAATGCATTAATGATTTGTTATACATCACAATGTAGGATGGGAACAGATTGATCGGAATAATATAGTTGACCATACTTAACGGTCATTCATATCTTTCTGACGCCAAAAACATATTAAGTTAACAGAAATTTTAAGAGATAAAAATTGAAATATATATATAGTAACGATGAACGTGGTGTTTAGTCTATTATTAATTGCAAAGGACTGTTTAAAGGGCTTGTTTGACAGCCTAATGCATGTGGTCCATTGATGCAACGTTTGCCATTCTGGTTCTCTTACCATTCCGTCACCAGTCTTATCGAGCTGTGAGCTATTTTTCTTCGTTGTTTAACGTACTCCTTCCGTGTGTCAAAATGGTAGACCCCATTAAAAAAATAACATTTAAAAAGAATGAATTTAAAAACCAATGTAATAAAAGCTAGTGTCTTTAAATGTGTGAATTTTAAATGTGGACATCTATAATGCATTAGAGGGAGTATGTTCTTGCCTTCAAAGCATATGGGGTTGGTACATGTGTCTGGAATGAATATTTATTTATTTGTTGAATGTGTCAAAAAAAAAAAAATTAGTAGAAAATATATAGACAATATTAAATATTCACATTATTTGATATTTTTATTTTTTTAAGTGTTAAATATGTGCCTGATATAAGTATTTGATCACTTATTTTGATGTAATGATATAATGAAATTGAATTATTAAAATTGTTTTTCTTAAATACATTACACTTCTTTATTGTGTGTGATATTCTTCTTCTCCTTTTGAAGACTCAATATAACATAGGTGCCTAACATATACATTTTTTTTATGCATGCTTTTACCTTTTCAAACCTCTTAAACATCCTTTATTTATTTATATATATATATATTATAATCTTCTTTATAAAATATCTCAACTTAATAAATAAACAAGGAAAAAAGAAAATTAAAGAAGGAGAAGTGTTGGGGACCGCGCCAACCATTTATTTTTAAATAAAAGCCAGTATACACCTTTATGATTCTTAAAATACAAAGCTGATTATAAAATTTTGACGATTTTATTGCAAGATTTAGACTCAGCAAGCATGATGGGATCGTAATTATGGTCAATAAATGTGAGTATAAAAAATAATACAACTATAAACTACTCGAAAATAAAGTCAACATACAGAGTATAATAGCTAGAATCAAGGAAATTTTATTAGATTTGAAATGGTTGGACAAAATAAACTATAGAGTTTAGTAGAATTCAAACTTAGGATCAAAATTTATGAATTATAAACCAAGGTGCAGAGAAATGGAATGCCAAATATATAATGTAATTTCATAAACTCTTCTATTGTTTGGTCTGAAAGAATTAACAAATTATTATTGCAAAAAAATTTAATTAGACTTTGGAGCTACTTAGCCAAAAATATAATGTACATAGATATAAAACTATGGACCTATTCAATAGTTTCTGTAAAGAAAATCATATTTTCTCTCAAAACTTGAGCATTTACTACTAATTTTCATTTTTTTCCAACTATAATTTAGTTCAATTTTTTATTTCAATCAAAGTCAGCTTCTGCTTTGTTATTCCTAACCTCATATGATATGGGACAAAGTTTGAGGAATGAATTGAAGGATTCTCCTATAACGTGTGAAAAGTTTTCAGGCTATACGAGTGAGCTGTAGACAATTAGAAATGTATTTTCATGACTATGGAAACGAGAATCAATACACGTATTTGACGAAAATTATAACTTTATATACAAGTTTAAAGTTACGCATTTTTTAATAATTTAAACTTTTGAAACCGACACGCATTTGACCAAAAATATGACCTCAGGTAAAAGGATTGATACAAATTTAAAGTTACATTCTCTTTAATAATTTAAACTTTTGAAACGAACGGAAACTAACGGATACCAAATCCGTGATCTTTTTAGTTCATGGGCGATTGAATACATATATCCTTGATAACACTAGAAAAACCCTGGTCAGAATGGAAATGCAATGTCACAAGAAATTGTGGGAGGCAACTAGTGAGCTGACATAATATGAGTCAATGGTTACATTTATGGGACACAATATGAGTCAATGGTTACATTTATGGGATGAATTGAGTCTGGTCATTAGAGATAACTTCGCTATTATGAATAGGTCTTTTCTCTAAGAACACGTGAGCGACCAAGAGATATTTGGATTAAAGGAATGTTTGATAAACTACTTGAATAACGCGAAGCCCTTCTATCTCGAGCGTCTGTCTTAAAAAGTAAAGTCGGTCGTCCCTATCATCGACGACCCAACCCACGACCTGGTCTTTTCACTAGAACACATATGTGCCTAAGAGATATTTGGGATAAAGAAATGCCGGATAAACCACTTGGATAACGCGGAGCCCCACGACCCGGTCTTTTCTCTAGAACACATAAGGGACCAAGAGATATTTGGGATAAAGAAATGCCGGATAAACCACTTGAATAATGCGGAGCCCTTCTTTCTCAGGCGTCTGTCTAAAAAAGTGACGTGGATTCCTAGTGTTACTTTCCTACATCTGTAGACTTTAGGAGCTTCTTCCGACAACAACAAAAAAATTAAAAATTAAAAATTAAAAAAATAAAAAATAAAAATTGAGAAAGACTGGGTCCAACTTGAAATTCAATAGCAACTAGTTCCAAATGCATGTAGATTTGTAATTTAGAATAAGGCTTGCCTTGGCTCAATGACGAAGATAAAACACAGTAATTGTGATTGATAAACAAATTTCATAGATGAAAAGAAAATTTCGATTCACTGACCCGAAAAAAATAAATAAATAAAGAACAAAGAGACACGAGAAACTTGTGATTCCTTCACATATGGGGTTCGTGTGATTACTTGGATGGCAAGAGTCCCCAAGCCCCTCGTTGAACTGCTCATTGCCATCATCTCGTGTTCTATGTATAGTTCTTTTAAATTATCAGTCATTTTCAAAAAAGTTGGTGCATCTGCGGCAATTAACTTCACCATTTTCAACTATAAGCGATGAAACAACATAATTTTGTGCATAATCAATCTCTAGAGAATCAGTGGTTACTTCTACAAAATTATCATCATCATCATCTTTGTTACCACTTTCTATATTGTAAAACTCCATTGTAGACTCAGACCAACACTCTTTCTTGCAATCCCGATATTAGTGATAATAATGTTTGCTTATAATCCGATGGTAGGATTCTAGCCATCACTAATATTTTTTATCTTCTTGGACCACGATTGTACATGTTGTTTTCCTTGTCTTAACTTTTTTATTTTCGAGTATATCAAAATACTCGAAAATATGTTCAACTTCAGTCCAATCTTAACGGTGCCCTAGCCCTAGGTTTCATTAATACTGTGATGGATATTTGTTTGTTTGGGATATTGTGCTGCTGTCTTGTAGGTTAGATCATTTTTTGGGCTTTAGCCCTCCTGTCTGCCTATGGTTTACCTTTTTAAGGCCGAAGCCCAAAAAAAAAAAAAAAATTAAAATTTATACCATTTGCTTAAACTTTCAAAATAAATAAATAATTGTTGTGTCTGAATTTTTTTTATGAAATGATAGCATTAGTATATATTAAGATCTTTCTTATTGTAAAAAAATTATTTTTAAAAACAGCCAAATAAACTGACAAAAATAGTCACTAATTCCATATAAAATTACAAACCTAAATTTGTGAAGTATAGTATTTTCTATTTATGAAATAATATCATTAGTAGCATTAGCCAAAATCTTATAAAGTGAAATAATAGCATTAGTATATATTAAGATCTTTTCTATATTAAAAAGATTACTTTTAAAAACAACCAAATAAACTGACAAAAATAGCAACTAACTCCATACAAAATTACAAATCTAAATTAGTGATTTATATCATTTTCTATTTATGAAATAATAGCATAAGTAGCATTAGCCAAAACCTTTTAAAGTGAAATTTGAGATGGGTCACCAAATCTGGTAGGAAAAAGAAAAAAGTAATATAAAAAATAATAAAATAATAAAAACAAAACCAAAGCGCTCCAGTAATTAAAAACAGAATGATCTGAAGTAACTTTTTACATGTTATTAGTGAGATATAAATTTTTAAATGCAATTTTCTTTTTGGGTCATCTTGAATTTAACTCCATATTATGTTACATTAAAATTTTTGACTTTGAATATTTTAAAAAAACTTTCTCAGTTTCATCTAACTTCACTCTTATTGTAAAATTCATTCGAAATTCACACAATTAACAGAAAATTCATTCGAAATTCACACTAAAGTAAAAAGAAGATAAAGTAAAGTGGACGGTTTGGTAGAAAAGAAGTGGGAAAAGAAAAGTGGGAGAACAGGAAAGATGATAGAATTTTCCTCAACAAAGAGAGACTGAAAAGAAAGAGATTAGAATTTTCCATGCCAATGTGGGGCCTGACCCACAACCACAAATACATATATATATATATATATATATATATGATTGTACAGTTGCACATGCCCAAATGCCCTATAATTGAACAAAAATAGCCATTGACCAGGGTTCATTTTTTCCCCCTCAAACAAAGGTACAACACAAGACACCAATAACCAAAATTTACAACCACGGAAATTAACTATTTTACATGATATTGTTCTCCTTTTGTCACATTTTCTTGAAGTCTAAGCGTTTACCTGGGAAATAAAAAATAAAAAATAAAAATAAAACAAAAAAAAAAGGTTAAGAGTCCCGAGGACGTGGTGACCGCTGGGGAGAATTCCGGCAGACGGGACAGGTAGCATTCAAATGGAGCCATTCATCAATGCAATTGGCATGGAAGCAATGTTGACAATCAGGCAAGCTCCTCAGCGTCTCCTTGGGCCGGTACTCGGACAAGCAGATTGGACACATGGTCTCATCGGGCTTGGGCAGCCTTCGGCTCTCACCCAGAACTGTTTTTGGGTAGGATTCTATAGTGAGCCCATCAAGGCCCAAAATGATGGTGGGCTGTGGAGCAACTGTGGATGTGAACTCTCCTGTGGAGTGGTTCCTCCTATTATAGGATTTGACCCTGCCAAAAACGTAACAAAAAAGCCCAACAAGACACAACAATGCCGGTACTCCCGCTCCAACGGTGATTGCATATCGAGCGCTCCTCGGAATTCCTAAAAACAACATTCGAGTTTAAATGTCAATGAATCGTGGAACACAACCTTAAAAGCCATCACGAGGACACTCTCACGAGAACTCACGTCTTCGACCATTTGGATCAAGAACTTGTTAAATCACAAAACTCTTTAAAATATTTTATTAATTTTTTTTGAATCCACATTTTTTAATCGAAAAGTTTTGATCGGACTAGACCACATGATCCACGACCATCAAGTACTCTTCGAGATGTTTGATGCAGACCAGTTGTAGAGTCCAGCAGACAATTCAACCCAACCCAACTAGAAATGGTCCATTGTGGAGCCCAAGCTGGTAATCAATGTTATCCACTTGACTTTTGTGTACATAAGACAAAGACAATCTTGTCTGATGATCTATGCAACATTAGATCTAAAGTCTGCTTACAATGGAACCGAGTACATCTGATTACAACTCTAGTTGAAAAAATCAAATGCTGCTTCAATTGTCAAAGCCAACGAATCCAAAAGCTATGACAATAGTGGGGAAAGCGTTGAGCGCAGTTGAAGTGAGGAATTGGCGGAAAGCTGTGTTCTCATTGGGTGAATTTCAGAGTAGTAGAGATATAGTGTATGTATATATTATTATAGTCTATGCTTATCTAAATGGTTGACAACGTACAACAAAAAATTGATTGATTAATATCTCTCTTAGAATATAGTTACAAATAAAGTTGCTTTAGCTCCATCCATTCAATCAAAACAATCATTTTTGTGGTTTCTTTTATTATTTTCATTCATTCATAATTAAATTATTCATTCTATATCTTCAATATATAATTATACAATAAGCTTTAAATATTATGTGACACATACTATTATTACAAGGGTTTAATAATGATTAAAACTATCAAGTTTGAATTTGAACACGTTACTAAGACTTGTGTGAGTGGGATCATAGACTCCACCAACATATCATTCAAAGTCAAATTGTTGGCTATTGTACTTGTGTTAGTATTTTTTTTGTTTAGTCAAATACAGTAAATATTATTATTAATTCTAAAATTATATTGTAGTCTATCTTAATTAATTTAAATGTTTATTTCTGACTTTTGATAGGTTAGTTTCTGTTATCTACCTAGCAGAGCTTCTTACATGTTCTTATCTGCTTTTAGCAAGTACATGTTATTTAAATTCAATTAATATCACTATCACCGTTAGTATATATACATACCACTATATATATATATATATATATATATATATATATATATATATATATTATATGTGAAATGAAGGAAGATAGTCTGTATTCCAAGCAAAGTGACCGTTGACCTAATCAAAAGAACAATTCTCATCCTATTATTCCATAAAAATCAACCATTTTTATATAGCAAAGTGACCGTTGACCTAATCAAATGAACAATTCTCATTCCATTATTCCATAAAAACCAACGATTTTTATACAGTGAAGTGTAAAAAAAATAAAAAAATAAAAAAAACATATTGTTAAATAAAAAGTATAAACACAGCGGTCTTGGTTTTCTTTTAAACTTCTACTTTCCATCTTAAAACACCATATTGTTAAATAAAATATATATATTAAAAAAAAAATAAGAAATATCTTTAACAAAAATTATCTTCTTAGTGTTTGTTTCATTTATTGCACTTTTAAATTAGTTTATGAATAACAGAGAAGCAGAAAAATAAGGTAATTACTAAAGAAGTGAAGTAATTAGGAGTGACTTAAGAAAATAGTCGTTCATGTCTATTTGCATTCATGTGGGACCCCCAGTTTTTGGTTGTACCTATATAGCATTATTCTAAAAGAGGTATAACTGAAAACCTCTTTTACAAAATTTAAAACACATAAAATTATATTTAAAAAATTATAAAGAATCGTGCTATGAAAATATTCCTTTTAGTTTAATTAAATTTTCAGAAAATAAATCTAGAAAGTATCAACCAACCAAACAAGTTTTTGTATAATTTTTTTAATTTTCATCTCTTAGAAAACAAAAACTAGCTAACCTTTAACAAATATTTATACAAAAAAAATGATTTTTCATCAACTCAGACCTTACTTTTTCTCTAGAATTTACACTTACCATTCAACACTTGTATAACTAAATAAGTAAAAAATAATAATAATCAAAATAGTTTTTCTATTTCCTGCCATTCTCTTTTAATTTTCATCTCTTTTACATTATCTCTTAATTAATTAAGCTTCTTTAAAAAAAAAAAAAATAAAGAATCAAACAATGTGTACCCAACTCTACTATGGATCATCCTTCATTATAGTCAGGTTTGATATCATCATGTTAATCACTCTCTACTCTAAAAATTTAAACTAAGACAGCAGATTAATTTAAGCAGAATATTTATAATTTGTCACACTATATTCAATAATAAAAAATAAATAAATAAATTGAGAGTGTTAAAAGAAGTTACCATGTTGAGGAGCATTAAAGCATCCAATTTCACGACTTGTATTACTCTTGAACCCACACCTTCCACCCCTTGACTCGCACCTACCACACTTGGGTGCAACCCAAGTGAGCCGAAGATCATCACTGAGGTCCGATGACAGAACCTGCTCATAAAATGGCCACTGAACAGGCACAGTAATGGTTCCAACCAAACTGCACTTGGCTGACAAGAACCTAATAGCTCCCGTATTAGACGTAGCGAAAACAGTGTAAGAAGAGCCACTCAGACAAGCTATAGGGTTCAATCTGTACTTCGTATAATCCAATGAGCAATTAAACAAAGTAAAATCTTGGTAGAACACACCGAGGAACGGAGAATCGGAGAGGTTTAGTGAGAGCAGACGTGCCGGGAGGCAGTTGTTTGGATCATTAATCCATATTTCTTGTGTGCCGTAGTCTATACTTTGGACTCTGAACTGCCCTGAATTTGGCAGCTTAATGAGTGTCTGGTTTGTGGCGTCACATGAGAGTCCGAAACCGGGATAGCCGCAGGGCTCCGGTTGGCGGTTTGGGAGCCGGAAAGGGAATCGGATCAAGGGCTCGCTCCGGCGACAGGCGGAGTTTGAGCAGAGTTGTGTGCTTGTCACCACCGTGTATGAGGAGAAGGAGGAGATGAAAAGGAGGAGGAGACAGACGGTATTGGTTTTGTGTGTATCCATTTGATGGGCGTGTTGGTGGTTTGGGCCTGAATTTGCTTTTAAATTGATAACATTCCTATTGGTGCTAGGGTCCATCAGATATAACGACATTGGGACAATTTCCACCTTCTGATTGCTTGCATAGAATAAAGACACGTAAATGGTCTGGTTCGTTGGTCAACGATCACCCAGCTAGCTCATTTATATATATATATAGAGAGAGAGAGAGAGCATAACACGAGGACTAAAATACATGCTCAGGGTGACAAGTGACAACACACTTCCACATGAACTCGTAAAAATTGGATGACATTTTCATATCAACTTTTATTTTTAATTAAGAAGAATGATACTTAGACTTATTTATCTTGTTGAATAATTTTATTTATTTGATGGAATGAATATTTAAGCGTGAGTTCTATTCACCATATCAAAGTGATAATAACTTTTTTGCTATACAAGTTAAACAAATTTGTTTAAGAATCATTTTCCTTCGAAGATGTCTATAATGTTCCTTAATTCATTTAATATTAGAAATATGAGTTCATCGTGAAAACACACATTTATATGAACTCGCACTTATAGCACGTTTTCACATGAACTCGTGCTTTTATGAATATATTTTCACATGAACTTGTATTTTGAACTAATGTATAATTTATGTAACGTTTCTCGATTTATTTATTAGAAATATGAACTCGGAACCGTGGACACAATTTCAAATTAACTCATATTATAATTAATGTTTTGAATTTTCGATTCACTCAATAAAATATAAATTAACTATTTCTCAAGACTGTTATATCTTTCAATTCATGATTTGCTTGGTGTATGGGGGCAATGACAAAGCCACAGTTTTTTTCAATTATCAACTTGATGGAGTGTTCGTGACCCATTCAAAACTTTTGCTTATGCTCGAAACCAAACAAAATTAAATAATTCATGGAAAGTTTCTACTTTGAATTATAAACAAATGCATTAATGATTTGTCACACATCACATTGTAGGATGGGAACAGATTGATCTGAATCATATGGTTGGCCATATGATTATAAAAATAAATTTTGAAATATATATATATATATATATATAGTAACGATGAACATGGTCTTTAGTTGATTATTAATTGCAAATATGGACTGTTTAAAGGCCTGTTTGGCAGCCTAATGCATGCGGTCGAGTGATGTATCGTTTGGCATTTTGGTTATCTTTATCTTTCTGTCATCTATCTTTTCGAGTTGTGAGAGCTTATTTTAATTGTTGCTTAATGTATGTTCTTGCCTTCAAATTATAAGGGGTTGGTACATGTGTGAAGGAATATTTATTTATTTGTTGGATGTGTCAAATTTTTTTAATAAAAAATAAATGGACATTATTAAATATTCATATTGTTTAATATTTTTATTTTTTAGAGCGTTAAATAGTAACACAATGTCTCTTATATAAGTATTTGATTATGATATAATGAAATTGAATTATTAAATGTGTTTTTCTTAAAGACATGACACTTCTCTATTGTGTGTGATATTCTTCATCTCCTTTTGAAGACTCAATATAACATAGGTGCCTAACATATATTTTTTTTTATGCATGCTTTTACCTTTTCACATCTTTGAAACATCCTTTATTTATTTATTTATATATATATATATATATATATCTATTATAATCTTATTTACAAAATATCTCAACTTAATAAATAAACAAGGAAAAAAGAAAAATAAAGAAGGATAAGTGTTGGGGACCGCGCCAACCATTTATTTTAAAAGCTAGTAATACAGCTTCATGATTTTTAAAATACAAAGCTGATTATAAAATTTTGACGACTTTATTGCAAGATTTTGACTCAGCAAGCATGATGGGATCGTAATTATGGTCAATAAATGTGGGTATAAAAAATAATACAACTATAAACTACTCGAAAATAAAGGCAAACATATAGAGTATAATAGCTAGAATCAAGGAAATTAATTTTATTAGATTTGAAATGGTTGGACAAAATAAACTATAGAGTTTAGTAGAATTCAAACTTGGGATCAAAATTTATGAATTATAAACCAAGGTGCAGAGTAATGGAATGCCAAATATATAATGTAATTTCATAAACTCTTCTATTGTTTGGTCTGAAAGAATTAACAAATTATTATTGCAAAATTTTTTAATAGACTTTGGAGCTACTTAGCCAAAAATATAATGTACACAGATATAAAACTATGAACCTATTCAATAGTTTCTCTAAAGAAAATCATATTTTCTCTCAAAACTTAAGCATTTACTACTACTTTTCATTTTTTCCAACTATAGTTTAGTTCAATTTTTTATTTCAATCAAACTCTGTTTCTGCTTTGGTATTCCTAACCTCATATGATATGGGACAAAGGTTGAGAATTGAATTGAAGGATTCTCCTATAACGTGTGAAAAGTTTTCAGGCTATACGCGTGAGCTGTAAACAATTAGAAAGGTATTTTAATGACTACGAAAACGAGAATCATACTCGTATTTAACGAAAATTATGACCTTAAATATAAGTTTAAAGTTACACACTTTTTAATAATTTAAACTTTTAAAACCAACCCACGGTCTTTTCTCTAAAAAATATAAAGGACCAAGACATATTTGGGATAAAGAAATGCTGGATAAACCACTTGAATAATGCAGAGCCCTTCTTTTTGTCTTAAAAAGTGAAGTGGATTAGGATTACTAGTGTTGCTTTCCTACCTCTGTAAACTTTAGGAGCTTCTTCAGACAACATCGAAAATAAAAATTAAAAATTAAAAAAATAAAAATTGAGAAAGACTGGGTCCAACTTGAAATTCAATAGCAACTAGTTCCAAATGCATGTAGACTTGTAATGGTTAGTCAATTCAACAAGACGGTTTAGAATAAGGCTTGCCTTGGCTCAATGATGAAGATAAAACACAGTAATTGTGATTGATAAACAAATTTCATAGATGAAAAGAAAATTTTGATTCACTAACCCGAAAAAAAATAAATAAATAAATAAAGAACAAAGAGACACAAGAAACTTGTGATTCCTTCACATATGGGGTTCGTGTGATTACTTGGATGGCAAGAGTCCCCAAGCCCCTCATTGAACTGTTCATTGTCATCATCTCGTGTTCTGTGTATAGTTCTTTTAAATTATCAGTCATGGTATGTATATTGTATATTGTATATTTTAAATTATCATCATCATCTTTGTTACCACTTTCTATATTGTAAAACTCCATTGTAGACTCACCAACACTCTTTCTTGCAATCCTGATATTAGATAATATTTGCTTATAATCCGATGGTAGGATTCTAGCCATCACTAATATTTTTTATCATCTTGGACCACGATTGTACATGTTGTTTTCGTTGTAGTAACTTTTTTATTTTCGAGTATATCAAAATACTCGAAAAAGTATTCAACTTCAGTCCAATCTTAACGGTGCCCTAGCCCTGGGTTTCATAATACTGTGATGGATATTTGTTTGTTTGGGATATTGGGCTGCTGTCTTGTAGGTTGGGTCATTTTTTGGGCTTGAGCCCTCTTGTCTGCCTATGGTTTACCTTTTTAAGGCCGAAGCCCAAAAAAAAAAAAAATTTATATTTATACCATTTGCTCAAACTTTCAAAATAAATAAATAATTGTTGTGTCTGAATTTTTTTTATGAAATGATAGCATTAGTATATATTAAGATCTTTCTTACTGTAAAAAAATTATTTTTAAAAACAGCCAAATAAACTGACAAAAATAGTCACTAATTCCATATAAAATTACAAACCTAAATTTGTGAAGTATAGTATTTTCTATTTATGAAATAATATCATTAGTAGCATTAGCCAAAATCTTATAAAGTGAAATAATAGCATTAGTATATATTAAGATCTTTTCTATATTAAAAAGATTACTTTTAAAAACAACCAAATAAACTGACAAAAATAGCCACTAACTCCATACAAAATTACAAACCTAAATTAGTGATTTATATCATTTTCTATTTATGAAATAATAGCATAAGTAGCATTAGCCAAAACCTTTTAAAGTGAAATTTGAGATAGGTCACCAAATCTGGTAGGAAAAAGAAAAAAGTAATATAAAAAATAATAAAATAATAAAAACAAAACCAAAGCGCTCCAGTAATTAAAAACAGAATGATCTGAAGTAACTTTTTACATGTTATTAGCGAGATATAAATTTTTAAATGCAATTTTCTTTTTGGGTCATCTTGAATTTAACTCCATATTATGTTACATTAAAATTTTTGACTTTGAATATTTTTTAAAAACTCTCTCAGTTTCATCTAACTTCACTCTTATTGTAAAATTCATTCGAAATTCACACAATTAACAGAAAATATGAAAATGAGTATTTTTATTTATTTATTTTTTTTTTTTTTGGGATCAAAAAATGAATAATGTTTTAAGAAATATAAATCCAGTATTTCATGCAATACGGTGTCGTATGTTTAGGGGAAGAAAGACCCATCCGCTGACCCGATGATACTTCCGCTGGACCGCTGCCACCAAAATGGACCCTCCGAGGACAAGGAGAAGAAATTGGATATTCTTTACTTGTTTGCAGAGAAAGAGAGAGAGAGAGAGAGAGATAGAGATGGGTGGAACTCATTTGATGAAGAGAATTCCTAGAATAAAATTCCCACAAAGACACCCAAAACCCTCAACCTCAGGTATGTCCTTCATCTCACTCTTACCTTCCAATCTTTATTTTTGCTTTCTTCTCTGAATTTAATGGCCTCAAAACTTAAATTTGGTTTTTTTTTTTTTTGTGTTTTTTTGGTCATCTGACATGCTATTTTTATTTTTTATTCTTGCTCATTTGACATTTGTTATTGGGTCATTATCTATATAATCATGTTTGATCTTTATGTAGTTAGTCAGTTCTGGATCAGCACATATGTTTTTAAAATAAATAAAAAATTTAAAAAGAAGTTTGAGGTTTTAAGAATTGCTGGGTCTTAAGAATTGCTAGATTAAGTGCCTGGGAATTGATTATTTCAGGGTTTGGGCCACTCTATTTTGTTGTTAGGTCAATATATCTGCTGGGTAGGTCTTATTTGATCCTCCCCTTTTGGTATAGATTTATGTTTATAATGGATAATTTGAGCTGACATTTAAAATAATTTGGAATTTGACATTTGCTAACCCTTCACATTGGATTGAGTTGGGAACAAATTGATGTTGATTTAGTTCTTATTGACACATAAAAAAATGTTAGGTAATTAAGGCCAGATGCACTTCCTATGGTCAGTTGGATCATGTTTTTCGTATGGGATAATTATTGGATATAGAAGGGATAGGAATGAAATCAAAAGTTTGGAGGGCGTTGAGATGGTTAAGTGGCAAGACAAGAAATTTACAATTAGAATTGAAGTCATTTGGCCGAAGTTAATTAGATGGCACACCTATAGAAGATAAGCAAGAGAAATTTGGATAATATGGGTTGATAAGGTGTAATGAGGATCGATGATTGTACTCGCAAGGACCAGAAGTACAAAGGAAGTTGCTATGACGGTGAAGGAATGCTTTTTGCCCCCTCCCATAAGATGAAGGAAAAATTGGATACGTTTTGTTTTAGAAGTCATGAGCGTGTTTACTTGATAGATGACGTAGTCATGGATTGAGCTATGTTGTACTTTTTAAGGATTAATATGTTTCAAGTGGAAGGCACTGCAAGGACAACGGCAAAGCCAAGAGGTTGTGGATTGAAGCACTGGCAGAAGGCATTATAGCATATTTTAAAATGGAAAACACGTAGTGCCATTGATAGATCAAACAGACACGAAAAAATGCACATCCAACTGATTTGGGGGACAAAGCTTGTTAAGTTCATTTACTCGATAATATGAAAAAAATTCCCATACAATTAGTCCTTTGTGTGTAATTCTAAATTTCACTTTTGTTCAAACTTCAAACACAAACATTTCACCCATTAGGTATTTGCACTTTTATTACCTATACCATGTTCAAGACTTAAACTAAAGCTTGCAAAGGTTGAACTTTACCTTGTTTTGACAAACTCATCTGTCTATCAACTATTTAAGAGATTTAAATCACACAATCACAACAGCTAGAGGTAAGATTTCAATCATTTTTGGTCTCTCGAACTACTGTGATTGAGCAGGGATGCTAGATATGATTGTGTTACGTCTTGCAGTGAATTTAAGATTATAAATACATATATCATATATGAGGTTTTGTCATTGCTCTACTGTCTTAATTTTCCATAATATTTAGGTACTAAAATATATGGGTAATAATGATACTTAAGAAGAATGGCCAGTAGGTGATGAGTAAGAAGGGTTCTTGAGAAGTACCCCTAATAATGAAATTTGGTCTTGACTCTTGAGAAATTCACATGGAAAAAGAAATATGAAATCTCGGTACTGAGCTAGAAGGAGAGGAAGAAATAGTAGGCCTTTTTTCTAAAAGAAAATTCAATAGTTTCTAGTAAAAAACACGACTTGTAACCGGTCTTCACTTGGGCACTTTGGCATCTAGCACCAGGTCCTCAAAGAGAGTATACCTCTGCTATTATCTTGTTTTCTTTGTGAGAGGTGCTTACCACATTCAAAAGCATCTGGCGACCATACACTCTCGTGGAGGATCAAGTAGTTCATGAAAATACATCATGAAGGATTTGGTCCAATTTAACAAGGTCGTTTTCTCATTATTATATATATTTTCCCAAGTGTTTTCTAAGTATTGATCTAATTGTGTTTTCTGTGCACTTCAAAAAGTACTTGCTTCTAGTGTTTTCTAATTATTGATCTAATTGTGTTTTCTGTGCACTTCAAAAAGTACTTGCTTCTAGCCTATCCTTGCCTCTTTTTATTATCTATTCTAACAATGCTATCTCTTGCTTAGATGAATTAGTATTAGCGAGTCCAGCTTTTTCCATCTTTTTTTAAATGATATATTTTTAAATTTTAAATTTGTGAATTTTTTTTCCCCTCCTCAAGCTACTTCATCTGAAGTTTCCCATTAGCCCCTGGGAATTATATCAAGTAAAATCTTGTGTGTGGTAATAGTAATATCTCATGATGGATTTAGATTGCTGACCTGCAGGGGCGGAGGTAGGGGGGGCCAGGGGTGGTCATGGCCCCCCAAATTTTTTGGCAAAATTTTAGTACTAGTACTAAATTATATATATTAATAGTCATTTTTCTATATAAAATTAAATTGCCCCCCCCCCCCCCCCCCAAAAATTTTTGTAAAATCTTTTTAAGGTACTAAATTATAGTTATTAATGGTAATTTTTCTAAAAACTAAAGTTGGTTCTTCAAAATTTTTGTATTTATGATACTAAATTATACGAGTAGTTAGTAGTTACTAATGGTGATTTGTATATAAAAAAATAAAGCTTGCCTCTCCCAAATTCTAAAAAAAAAATCTATTTATGGTTTACCTTATGATTATTGAATGTGATTTGTGAATGAAATGACTTATAACCCTTTAAATTCGAATAAACATCTTGCTTCAAAAAATTCAAAATATAGTTAAAAAAAAAAAACCATTATTATAGTTACTAATGGTGATTTTTTATATAAAAATTAAATCTTGCCTTTTCCAAATTTTGAAAAAAATAAAAAAAAAATCTATTTATGGTTTACCTTATGATTATTAAATGTGGTTTGTGAATGAACTTTTTTTTTTTTTTTTTTTGATAGATATGGTCTATGAATGAAATTTACTTATAACCCTTCAAATTTGAATAAACCTGTTGCTTTAATAAATTCAAAATATAGTAAAAAATGATGATAATAACCATTATTATGATTTGACACTTGAAAACCTCAGCTGTTCTTAATTTGCTCTATTTTTCTTTTCATATCATCTATAAACACATGCTCTTAATGTTAAAAATGAACTAAAAAAATTACAAGTATTTTATTTTATTTTTTAAATTTGATTTTGTATTAATTAATTTGGCCCCCCCAAATATTTTTATTTGGCTGCACCCCTGCTGACCTTTAATTGGTGTTCTAGTGTATTGATTGGAGCAATATATGGAAGTGGCAGAACCGGTGCCTGTTGGCTGCCACTTCTGCAGTGGGTGCAAACTGGAAGAATGTCTTTTTTAAGGATTTTTCTTTGGCTGTGACTTTTGTCCAGCTGACTATTTGCTTCAGCAAACTGAGCTTTTAAGCTTTTCCTTAGGTGATGATTTAACTGGTTGACGCTTGGGATTGATTTGAAAGTGGCCTGCTCAGTTGCCTCACCAACTCATAGTCTGGTGTAAACAATCTATGGGGTCAAATTTTAGTGCCTGCTTGGAAAGTCTTTCCACAGCAAATGATCCAAGTTGTCATTGACAGAAAATCTTCTAGTCTGTATCCAAAAAATTTATTAAACTTTTTATCCAGTGAAAATGAAGGGACAAAAAAAAAAAAAAAAAATCCTCTTGTGGCTTGAAGCTAGACCTCACAATTTATTAGATTCTACATCTCATCTATCAATTCCGACTACAAAAGACCAACTTACACTCGTCTGCTGAAATTGGGATTTAGTCAAATTCTTGTGGTAGTAAGGGCCACAATTGTTAGTGTATGGACCATTCTGGAGACATTGTTGTTTCTCTATACCTTTCACATCTATATATTAGTAATCCTAATATTATATATTATTGATTAATATTTCTACTTCATTTCAAACACAAGTTGCAGCAAAAGATGGGGAAGTACATCAATTTTTCATTTCAAAGTCAGATGTCCCAGCAGCACCCACCAACACTGCTGTTGGAGGGAAAGCTTCTCTTCAGCCAAAGCGCACACCAGTTTCGGAGAGGGAGATAGAGGCTATTCTGGTACGTAAACTGTCCTCCTAAATTTTTTTTGGGTTGGATTAGGAAACTAAGATTTTTGACTTTGAAGCCATTCTGAGAAGTCCTTTTTGAAAGTAATTAATTAACACATCAGTTATACAATAAGGATTTTACTTGTTCATAAAAAGATAATAGAAAAAGGTAATACAACAAGGAATATCATTTGTGAGTGTCTTTTTGAATCTGCTTGCTCGAAACATAATTGATTAATTGTTCAGACAGCAATTCCTTAAACATATTCAATTCAAATTTACATAAATATTGGAGAATCCAAGTCATAGATATATGAACTTTGGACGGTACCATGATACTTGTCAAATTATTAAACGAGGCAGGAAATGGAACAAAAGATTTTTTTGCAACTCTAAATTCTTTGAGTAGATATTGATCAATCTATTTTTCAATGCCTATTTTTGCAGTTGGGTGGCTGCTTCTGATTATTCAACTTAAAGACCCGCGGGGGAGTCGTAGGCTATCCTACATTCGACTGTTTCAACATTTGGTCTGTTATTTCTTTCTACTCTCTGTTATATGAAACTGCTGCTTCAATGAAGTATTGTATTTCAACAATGTGTTTATTGATTAAGCCTGACGTTTCACACGGTCAACTTGTTACATGTGAGTCCTTCTAAATCTCCAATTCTGGTCAGTCAGCTATCAAGGTAGCGTTGGATTGGGGGGGGGGGGGGGGGGGGGGTTGGAGTTGGGGGGCTAATGTTGCAAAAATTCCTCTATAATGGAGGGAAAGCTTACCAAACAATGTATCCTATCTTGCTCTCACTGTGTCTGTCAACTGAGATTTCATCCTTCTATTATGTGAAAGGGCAGGACATAGTGTTCTAAAGGAAATGAAATTATTTTAAATATATATATATATATATTTTTGGGTAAGTACAGAAAAAAGGCATTGTTTTGCAACTTGGGAGGCCTATTTGTTTGCAATTTTAAGCAGCTGTTCGCTAAACAAAGATGGCTGATATCTAAATTTTGGAATGAAGTTTTCACTCTTAGGTGAGGGACAAAATTAAAGAGGTCTCGGTTTGTCTTTCCTTGTATTTGGATTGTGTCATGAGTCCATGATACAAGTATTCTATTATGGAGTGATTGACAACACAATTATTGAAGGGGTAACACGATGACAAGATCTACATAATCTGTTTAAGAAATTGGTTGGGAAACATTACATTTAATTAACCGCAAATGGGACACTAGTTTACCCAACACATTTAGTTCAACGAGTCTAAGCAGGTTATAAACAGATTGGCAACACAACATGCTTAAGTCAAATATAAACAAGACATGCTTAATTAACGTGTTAGACATCTTCTACCTAATACATTTAGTTAAATGAGTCTAAATAAATCATAAACAGATTGGCAAGTCAAATACGAACACTAGACATGACTATGTCCCATCTGTTTAAACGCAAATGGAACACGTTTACCCAACACATTTAGTTCAACTAGTCTAAGCAGATTATAAACAGATTGGCAACATGTTTATAATCGGATTGGTAAGTCGAATACGTGTTAGACATGTCTACCTAATACATTTAGTTAAATGAGTCTAAACAAATCATAAACAGATTAGCAAGTCAAATACGAACACTAGACATGATGATTATGATGATTATGAAGTCAGATGCAACTTGGCGAGTCAAATACAAACACTAGACATGATTATGAAGTCGGATGCAACTTGACTGAACACTTGGACTAGACATGATTATGATGATTATGAAGTCAGATGCAACTTGGCAAGCATCATATGAAGTCAGATGCAACTTGGCAAGTCAAATACAAACACTAGACATGATTATGAAGTCGGATGCAACTTGACTGAACACTTGGGCATGATTACGAAGTTGGATGCAACTTAGCAAGTCAGTCTAATTGGTAAGTCAATTGGCAAGTCAGTCTAATTGGTAAGTCAAACACAAACACGTCTAATTGGTAAGTCAAACACAAACACGACGTGCTTAATTAACCTGACTTGTTACAAAGTCAGATTGGCAAGTCAAATTCGTGTTTAATTAACACGTTAGACATGATTACAAAGTCACCAAGCCTGTAAACGGTGTGGTATACGTTCCAAACAGAAGGAATCTGTGTCATGGGACACCACTCATTTGGATTAGAAGCTGTTTTTAGATGACCAATTTCTAAAATCATATCCAGAAAATAGATCCACCAAACCTTTGATATATTAATTTCCATTCACGGATGAAGAAACCAACTATACATTATTCCTTTTAGCCCAGCACAAGCTCCACCCCCACAAAACAACCGACAGATGAAACATTATAAACAATACAGAAAACACGGACCTACACTCGGTAACAAATGCCATTTTGGCCTCTCTTTTAACTTCTGAAACCCTTCCCAACCCGAAATGGGGCTTCTCTTGTTGGATATCCACCAAATAATCAATTGTGAACCCATCGATATAAAATTACCAGCTTCTATGCTTTCTACTTTGTATCTGGAAGTATAGCACAGTTTTCTACGTCATTACTGTATGTTTGCTGCTACCTTGCTGCCTTTTGACAATGTCCTCTTGACTCCCTAAACTTACAGTGAGATCTTTTTCTTCTCTCATGAGATAACTGTCAACCTGTGAAGCAGCTTGCCTGCCTTCGGATATAGCCCATACCACCAATGACTGGCCACGCCGGCAATCCCCAGCAGCGAAGACCCCTTCCACATTGGTCAAGAAGCGGCCATAATCAGCTTTGAAGTTTGATCTATTGTCTCGCTCAATGCCCAGTTTTTCTGCTACTGTCTGCAGGAATTAACCAACAGTAGAAAGTAAATCAATGTTAAAAGGCATAGTTTCTCACTCTTGAGAAAAAAGGTTTCAATTCTCTAGGAACCTTTGGACTGAACTTTAAAGAATGATTTTTGTTTGATATTTGAATCTTCTTCATATTTCCTTAGGAGAAGGCTTAGGGCTAAATTATCATTTATTGGCTTCTTTTTTTTTTTTTCGCAAGTCATTTATTGGCAAAATTTAGATTGGCACAAGTTGAAAGTAAATTCATGATGCCATAAGCAAGCTTTTAAAAGTTAGCTGTTAGGAAAAACTCAACTTTGGTATTGGATCACCCTGGAGAAATAATAATAATAATATAGCAGTATACTGACCGATTCAGGGCCAAGGAAACCCATGGCTAGTAGGACTAGGTCAGCCTCAATTGTCTCTTCAGAGCCCTCGACTTCCTTAAACTGAAACTTCCCACTAGCATCCTTTTCCCAGTTTACACGTACCACCTCCAGTCCTTTTAGAACCCCATTCTCATCTCCCAGAAACCGCTTTGTCAATACCTCATACGACCGCGGATCTTTGCCAAACTTGGCAGCAGCTTCTTGGTGTCCATAGTCTACACGGAATATGCGAGGCCACTGCAGGCAGAAAATAGGAGTTGGAATAAATCATCAAAGTTATCTAAGAAAGGTGCATGAAATGCTATTAAATTCTCGAAATTTTAGCATTATGTCACATTTTCACACTGATTTTAACACACAATATTGCAACTAGCACTATTCAAAATAATTTATAAAGGTCACAACGTCAACCTCTAATTATAGTAACCTAATCAAATTATCAAATTTATAGTTCAACTTTACAACTTCACATTATATTGAGTAAAACTACTTAATCCTAAATTTGTTCACCATGTTTCATCAAGTCGCAGACTAACAAAATGGTATTACATAGAAGGTAGACCACAGCAGAATGCTATTGAGCAAAACTTATGTTTGGAAGCAAATAAAAAAGGGTGCAGATCATGAATAACAAACAGGTTTGTTTATTTGTTTTAACCAAATAAATAAAACAATGTTTTAACCCAGCCATGGGAGGAATTCTGGAGGAAGGTGCAAACCTGTGGCCAAGGGTTGCCAGGAGCCCTAGTCTGTGGCGGCTCAGGGAGAAGCTCTAGATTTACAATGCTACTACAGCCATGCCGAATAGATGTCCCAATGCAATCTGTGCCAGTGTCCCCTCCACCAATGACCACTACCTTCTTGCCCTTTGCAGAAATGTAGTTATTATCTTGGAGATTGCTATCAAGCAAACTTTTGGTGTTTGCATGAAGGAACTCCATAGCAAAATGAACTCCTGATAGCTCCCGTCCCGGAACAGGAAGGTCCCTACACCAATTAGAGTCATGAGTTACCAGATTCCATAAATAGATTACAGAGACGAGAAAGAAAAAATAATAAATAAATAAAATAAAATAATAATAGGTACAATGGCACAAAATTTATATCTAAAGAATCCTCGGGCACCACAAATTCTTTACATTTAAATGTACATAATCTGTAATTTTGCTACATCACTTACCTTGGTTTTGTGGATCCTACCGCTAAAACAATGGCGTCATTTTCCTCACGGAGCTGTTCTAGGGAGAACAATGGATCATTCCCCACGTTAGCATTAACAACAAATTTAACACCTTCCTTTTCCATAAGGTCAACCCGCCGTTGAACTACATCAACTTTGTCTGCCTTCATGTTGGGAACACCATACATCATAAGGCCACCGATTCGATCAGCACGCTCGAACACTGTCACCAAATGACCCATCCTATTAAGTTGATCAGCAGCAGCCAAGCCGGCGGGTCCACTTCCAACAACAGCGACTCTTTTACTGTGAAATATAAACAACAATTAAATTTCGAGTTCCCCAATTTTCTATTTAATAAAATAATCAGTTGAAGAGTAAGGGAGGGCAATGTTTTCATCCATTCAAAAATTGATCAACGAGAACTATGCTAAGAATTGAATGCATACCCTGTTCTCCTAAGGGGAGGTCGTGGAACCATCCACCCCTCCTCAAAAGCCTTGTCTATGATGGAGCATTCAATGTTTTTGATTGATACAGGATTTTCAATAATGCCGAGAACACAAGAACCTTCACAAGGTGCAGGACACACTCGGCCAGTAAACTCCGGGAAATTATTAGTCTCCAGTAAGCGGTCTAATGCTTCACGCCACCTATTTTGGTACACCAACTCATTGAATTCAGGTATTTTATTCCCAAGAGGACATCCAGAGTTCCCCTGCGTTTAGACAACAGAAATAAATTTTAACAAAAACAACCTGGCAGTACTTTATATAAAAAATTTGAAACAAGAAATCTAAAACAATACAATTATTTTTTGAACTGCATTAGATATTACCTGGTGGCAGAAGGGAGTGCCACAGTCCATGCAACGAGCAGACTGTGTCTTTAAAAGCGGGCCAGGCTTTGACTCTTCCATAACCTCATTCCAGTCATTCATCCGAATGGTGGGATCCCTGTATGAGACGCCCTCACGCTCATAAGCAATGAAACCTCGATGTTTGATAGCATCGGTAACTCGAGTAGGCCTCTTCGTTGATTCAGCCTTTTCCACCTCCTGTGAATTTCAGAATTCTTGTTAGACCCTGTTAAGGGACTATATATGATGACAATTAGCACAAAAAATATAAAAAGGCTAAAAGATTAAAAACTGTCTTTAAAAGAATAATCATCATCACTTATTGGGAGAGGAAAAAAAATTTATTTGATACTTTCAAGATGCCAAAATGTTTAAAACAGTTATTTTAAAAAATTATGAAATTACAAGCCAAAACACAGAGAACATTTTAAAAGCAAGGAAAATTTGTTCCAAGTGTCACCAAAAATTAAAAAATTTCAACTCACAATACCACTATGACGAGTATAGTTTCTTGAACAAATTTATTTATCAATACAAGAGTTTTATTTGTTAATACTTTTCTTAGTCCTATGAGTTATAAGACCTCAACACTTGATAAATTTTACGATAATTTTGGATGAAGTGAAGAACATAAAAAGCTCAAGTGACAAGTATTAATGATTGGGTAAGCAGCTTACCTGATTGACCTTCGCATTCAAAGATGCAGTCGCCAACTTCTTTAGCTCTTCAAAGGCATCTTTCTCCACCAATTCTGCCTCATCTTGTTCCTCATCCTCCTTAGAAGCCTTTTCTGCAGCCTCTATGGCAGTTTCCTCTGCTTTCATGCTTGCAAGCACCCGTTTATAATCTCTAGGGAAGACCTTAATAAATTTGGGTAGAAGGTTCTCGAAGTCAGCAAGCACTTCTCTGGCTAATTCGCTGTCTGTGTGACGCTGATGTTGCTGTATCATCATTCTGAGTGTCATGATATCCTCTTCTTCTTCAACTTTATCTAGATCTACTAGCTCAAGATTGCATCGGGATTGGAACTTGTCATCCACATCAAGAACATAGGCAACGCCACCGCTCATGCCTGCAGCAAAATTCCTCCCAGTTTTCCCGAGCACAACAACAGTCCCACCAGTCATGTACTCACATCCATGATCACCAACACCTTCCACAACTGCTCTAGCCCCTGAATTACGGACACAGAACCTTTCTGCTGCCATCCCATTAAAATATGCTTCCCCGTCTGTTGCTCCATAGAGAGCTACATTACCAATCACAATGTTTTCCTTTGGATCAAACTGGCTTCTTCTTGGGGGATAAACAACAATCTTGCCACCTGATAATCCTTTCCCCACATAATCGTTGCTGTCACCTTCAAGCTCCAACATGATGCCAGGGCAAAGGAAAGCACCAAAGCTCTGGCCTGCACTGCCACTGAGTTTAATATGGATGGTATCTGCAGGAAGCCCTACCATGTGGTAGCGCTTAGTCACTTCATGGCTAAGCATCGTTCCAACTGCACGATTTACGTTGCAGATTGGTGACTTGATGTATACAGGAAGAGCTTTCTCTAAAGCAGATTTGGACAAAGTAATAAGTTCATTATCCAAAGCCATGTCCAAGCCGTGATCCTGTTTTTCTACACAATACTGGGCAGCTTCTGGCCGGATGTCAGCAGCAGGTCTAAGCAACAGAGAGAGATCTATATTCTTTAGCTTTTCATTGTTCTTAGTAACTTCTTTATCAAGTTCAAGCATGTCTGATCGACCAATCATTTCATTTATTGTTCGAAATCCAAGCTGAGACATGATTTCCCTCAGCTCCTCTGCTAGCATGAAGAAAAAATTTATGACATGTTCAGGTTCTCCAGCAAACTTCTCACGAAGAACTGGATCTTGGGTGGCAATTCCAACCGGACAAGTGTTCTTGTGGCACTTTCGCATCATGATGCAGCCAAGGGTTATTAGGGGAGCCGTGCTGAAACCAAACTCCTCTGCACCAAGAAGCGCCGCTATGGCCACATCTCTTCCAGTTTTAAGCTGGCCGTCTGTCTGGAGAACTGCTCGGCCACGAAGGTCATTAGCAACTAGAGTCTGGTGGGTCTCTGCAAGACCAAGTTCCCATGGAAGCCCAGCACTCTTGATGCCAGTCCATCGAGAAGCCCCTGTACCTCCATCATGACCCGAGATCAATACATGGTCAGCATGCCCCTTCACAACCCCACTAGCAATTACCCCCACACCAGCTTCAGATACTAGCTTCACGCTTACTCTGGCTGATGGATTGGCATTCTACAAAATATCATAGGAAGGATTAAGATAAATATCATAGGAAGGATTAAGATGGACTAAACCACACTATGAATAAGATTAGCTGTTCAACCTACAGTTGCTTCCTAAAAGGCAATCCCATGTCTTTATCCCAAGAGGAATACAGACAGACAAATGCAAACAGAAGCAGCAGCTTAAAATGCCAGAGATGAGATCAAAACAATCTTGCACTCCAAGAAAACATGTGCAAGAAGCAGCGGATGTACTTACTTTGAGATCATGAATCAATTGGGCAAGGTCTTCAATCGAATAGATGTCATGATGGGGAGGTGGACTGATTAGTCCTACCCCAGCAGTGGAATTCCTTGTGACCGCAATGTCTCCAATAACTTTGTGGCCGGGAAGTTCACCACCTTCACCAGGCTTGGCCCCCTGCGTAACAAAATCAATCCAATATTCTTGATAAAAATATCCAATCCACAAAGAATAAACAAGTGCAGTTCAAATTTAACCTCACCAAATGCCAAATGTAGGTATCAGTTAAAGATGCAAAGACACCCAGAGGTGCTTTGCAGACACTGCATCATCTGTCCATGAACATAAATTCATAAACAAGAGGAACCTCTGCTCCAACGGGAATAGAGGGGCTAAATAGGAATTGATGAACACCAACAGCAGAAAAATAAACCTGGATGCTATTTTCAGGTTCAATTGTATAACATTCAAGACATACCTGAGCCATCTTTATCTGCAGCTCATCAGCGTTTGTAAGGTAATAACTTGACACTCCAAATCTTCCACTTGCAACCTGCTTAATTGCACTCCTTTTAGGATTCCTTGAACCATCTGGAAGAGGCACCATACGAGATGGGTTCTCACCTCCCTCACCTTCAAAAGAAGTTGAATGAATGAATGAAAAAATGATCATAGAAATACACAACAAAGCTACAGAAAAGCAACAGAAGTTGCAGGAGAAAAGAAAGCTACATACAGTGGACAAATTTACAAGAAAAAGTCTTATAAATTTCACTAATAAGGTCCATCAGCAAAGAAAATGACACAAAAAAAAAATGAAAACATATCAAAGAAACATAGTAGACTTCAAGTATACTCCACTGAGAGTTGTAATATACATTTTAGAAAAAATGAGATTCAGTTACTTTGAAGAGAGATTGCTTAAAAATGCTTTCTAACTGTAAGCAACAGAAGAGTTGTCAATGTAATGAAACTTGATCAAACTCCATTAGATTCTTCTAATCTTTCTGATTAATCAATAAACTTGATGTGACAGGTTGAATGATCCTAATTGAACTACAGAAAAGAATTCTATTTCATCAAGAGCATACCTGTGTTGGATTTCCCCCCAATTTTGTTCATAGCAGTAGCAAGGGTCGTGTGTGCCTCCAATGATATTGATCCATAACTCATGGCCCCAGTACAAAACCGTTTAACAATCTCACTGGCTGGTTCCACTTCATCTAAAGGAATGATGATGTCTGCCCCTTTAAATTTCAAAAGCCCCCGCAGATTGCAGGTTTTGTTCAATTCCTGTATCCGCTTAGAATATTCTTTGTAAGCAGCCACACTATTACCTCTCGCGGCCTCTTGCAGCTTTGCAATAGCAAGGGGATCATTCAGGTGAACCTCACCATCTTTCCTCCAGTGATAATCCCCCGGATTGGGCAGTGCTACAGACTCTGCACTTCCAGGAGGGAAGGTCCTAGTTGGAAATGCCAGCTCATGCAATTGAAGTGCGTCATGGGCAAGAGCTTCAAATGTTGCGCCCTCAACTCTGCTAGGAGTTCCAGTAAAGCACCTTTCTATCACTTCTGATGAAAGACCCACAGCCTCAAAAATCTGAGCACCCTTGTATGAGGCCAAAGTTGATATCCCCATCTTGGCAAGAACCTTCATCATTCCATAGTTACTTGCTTTGAAGTACTTCTTGACCAGCTCATCCTTCGTATGGAACTCACCACTCGCTTTTGGTGGGATCTTTCCATCAACCTGCAGTCTCCAGATGGCCTCTACGGCCAAATACGGGCATATAGCATCTGCACCAAACCCAACAAGTGTGCAAAAATGGTGCACTTCACGTGGCTCAGCTGACTCAACAATCAGCCCTACTCGAGTTCGCTCAAGCTTTTTAACTAAATGGTGATGGACAGCTCCAACAGCCAAGAGGGAGCTCACAGCTACTCGCTTCGAAGAAAAGGCTGCAAATTTGAACAAATGACAGATGCATTAATAAAACGTAAATTCATTAAATAGTGGAGAATAAATTTTTCCCAGACATTTTCTCAGTGAACCCTAATTTTAGGAATGAGGTACCTCTGTCAGAAAGCACCAGTATAGTGTAACCCTCCTTAATTGCATCATGCGCCTCAGAACATATCCTATCCAAGGTCTCCTCCAAACCATTCCTACCACGACCTTTAGAATAAGTGATATCAAGAACTTTGCTACGCCAACCTCTGTAGTTCATCATTTTAATTGCTTCAATTTCATCAATCGATAAAAGAGGCCCTTTTAGCGAGAGACGATGACACTGTTCTTCAGTAGTCTCTGTAAGATCACCTTCTGGACCAATCATGCACTCCATGGAGGTGACTATCTTCTCCCTAATAGGGTCAATAGGAGGGTTTGTAACTTGAGCAAACATCTGCTTAAAATACTCAAAGGTGAGTTTCTCTCTATTTGACATCACAGCCAAAGGAGCATCGTTCCCCATTGACCCGAGGGCCTCAACACCATCTTTTGCCATGGGTAGCAACAACATCTCCAAGGCTTCAACAGTGTAGCTGCATGAGGATGCCAACATTTGAATTTACTTTCCTATAGAAATGAAGTTTTATAGTGCAAGCAAAGCGAAAAGAGTACATACCCAAAAGCTTTCAAAGGACCCAATAAACCATGCATGCCCATGTTTTCCATGTTGTCGTCATCAGTAGATGCCTACCAGTTACAATAAACATAAACCACATTCAGAATTGGCCACAGAAAAATACAAGATATTTTCCTTTTCATTTCCTTTTGCTTTCAAGAGGGGAAGTTGAAATTAGACTTACCAACACCATTCCTGCTATGGCTGGAGGGACCCTGTCAGATGCATGAACAGATTCGACTATGTCCTTTAGTCCTATCTTTTGCCTTTTAAGCCACTCTCCATAGGGTCTTGCAAGTGAATACTGCTGCTTCAGGGCTTCATCATCTACAACAACATGCTTCTCAAAATCCACTAAAAGCATCATGCCAGGATTAAGTCTTCCTTTCCTACACACATCTTCAGGTGGAATGTCCACTACTCCAACTTCACTTGCCATTATAACTCGTCCACTGTGTGTGACATAAAAGCGACCTGGACGTAATCCATTGCGGTCCAGTGTAGCTCCCAGATAGCGGCCATCAGTAACTGCCAATTACTTTCCATAAGCACAAACCAAGTGTGACGAGAAAATAATTTGATGAGAAATCAAAAGCTTCAGAAGACCCTTACATGATATCAGAGCAGGCCCATCCCATGGTTCCATAAGGGCCGAGAAATATTCATACAAAGCCTTCCGATGGGGATCCATATTCTTATCATTTTGCCACGCTTCAGGGATCATCATCATGACAGCTTCAGGGAGACTTCTACCAGCTCGAACCAAGAGTTCAAGTACACCATCAAAAGCTCCTAAAAATGGGAGGAAAAATACAATACACTATAATTAAAATTAAGGCAATTTACACAGCATGGAAGGTAAGTAAGTATATCTTCACTCCCAATCCCACAAGAATTTGCATGCTGCTGGTATATATTCATGCATTAGTAGTCAAATACTGTGGGCACATACTCATCAACAAATGAATGGATGTTGCAATTGCAAAAATGTGGTAGCACATGACCAAAAAGTTGAATTACAGTATAACCTGAATCAGATGAACTGGCATCTACAATGGGTAGAAGCTTCTTCATCTCATTCTTCGACAGACCCAGCTCCTTACACTTTAGAAGACCCTCACGTGCCTTCATCCTGAACAAAAAAAAATGACAACATCGATCAATTATTTTAGAACAGGGAAAATCTACTCTGAGAATTTAGAACCATTATCCAGACACTATCCAGAAGGATCTTTGCTTATTTGGAGTGTACAAGTTAATGAAATAAATTCCTGACCCAGTTAGTGTACCACCGACATGAATGGGATCTGCTAGCAGAAATTATCATTTCAAAGTTCCTCGAATTTAAAAAGCTTGCTTTGGATCTCAGTAGGGTAGCGTTAAAGACTACTGAATTCTGTTTTCCGATGCATGCACTCACCAGTACACAACATAACAAGAGAGATTTCAGATATTCAGCAAGCATATGCATTACCAATAAGAACCCCCCCAAATGTCCACTAAATAATTTTATCAATTCCCACCGAAAGACAAAAAAAAATTACCATTAACTTCACAACCCAGAACGGAGGTATATCCCCCCAGCACAATTAATACGCATGCTAATAACAGTTCGGTAACAATGGTCTCAACTCCTGGACCTGTTCACCCAAAAACTTGCATGCCTACTCGACTAAAAATTCTTAAATAAGAAAATGGAAATTTCTGATAGATCTTCAAAACCAGATACCAAAAATAAAATAAAATAAAAGCTTGCGCTCATTTTATTGCTTCAACCTTTTCATACTCTAGTCTTCCTACAGTCAACAACTACAAAATGCTTATTGATGTTTGTGTTGTGTGAATTAAAACTGAACTTAGGAATGGCCGTTCACTGATCTTGTGGCCCACTGAGATCCCATCCCAAAAGCACAAACAAAGTAAATCCATTAATCACATCATATTAATCTAATAGGTCATGAACAGTCGATGTTAAAATATTCAAGTTTTATTCAGCACAGGCAAACAATCATATACTGGTCATAAACTTACCAGTTCACATTGCCCCGAAGTGTGTTGATTTCCCCGTTATGGCCCAAAACACGCATAGGCTGAGCACGATCCCAGCTAGGAAATGTGTTCGTCGAGAACCGGGAGTGTATCTGCATCAAATAAGGAACAAATCAAAATATTTACTCCTAATACCATACACTTGATTAATGGTCTGGGCTCTAAGTTTTAAATTGCAAACATGAAATTGTGTTCAGGGCACTTCAATAAACAATATATTGCTGTGCCAATAAGCATCATGAAAATCCTAAACTACCTTGACCAAACACAATTTCTTTTCCACCAATATAATGGAAGTTCCATCCTCAAGAATTGATCATAGAGCACTTCACGAAGTTTCTGCAAACATGATTTACTGGATAATGAGGTTCCTTACCAACTCACCAAAAAAAAATCCAATCCGGCATCCAAATTCATATTGTAATCAAGGGAGTGGAAGAACTTAAGAGATCATTCATACTTCAATGCCTCAGAAGTCATTCCTCAACCTTGCATCTCTTCAGAGTTAACCGGTTGATCCCATGCTGTTCGTTGTTGAAGTATAGAGTCAGTGGACAAAGGAAAAAGTGAATGGAAAAAAATATTTACCAGGGCCATGTAGCTTGTAAACCTTCCATTTCCAAGATCTGCAAAATAATATTCTTGCAACTGATTGGGCTTCAACTGACCTTTGTAGACGACAGTACTGCAGAAACAAGGTAGAGGCTTTAAAACTCTAGCCAGATGGAAGCATTTTCCATAAAAATTTAAAGCCTCCTGAAAACAAACCTTGATGATAGAGAACATATGTAGAAGTCCCTAACACCACCATGCTGAAGGTTTAATGCAGCTCGGATGGCTACCATCGAAACCCTCCTTAGTATGTACATCTGACAAAAAAGTAAAATAAATAAAATGATAAAATACCTAAAATTTATTAAACTAGTAAAGAAAATCTTAGAATAACACAATTATAGTAATAACATCATGAGAAAAGAGGGGAAGGAAGGAGCAAAAAACCTCCAATAAGAGGCTCTTACGTCCAAATTCTGCCGCTAAATTGGAATTACCCAATAAACTACACGACAGTAGATGCAGATTCCATTTCTTCCAACTCTTGTCTATCCCCTTAACCCCAAACAGAAAAATAAATAAATAATGATAGTAAACTACTGAAGAGTAATCCACTCGGTTCCAATTTCCATCATTTCCCTTAATTTCTCTTCATAACATTCCATTAGGAGAACTCATGTTTCATCCACAAACGACAATCATGTTTGACGTAAACCCTTTTCATTCACAAACGACAATCATGTTTATTGAGGTAAAGTATAGACACTATATTACTTGTTAAAATGCAGAGATTCTTGCTTTCGCGGCTGAATTTGATAAATCAATCAACTACACCATAAACAGACAATACCTGCTGCTCAAAGTCGGCCTTTGACCTGGGAGTGGGTGTCAGAAACACTTGCTCAATGACTGGTTCTGTCTGTAAAGCAGAGTTCCCCAATCCTGAGTTGTTGGTCGGGACAGAGCGCCACCCAAGAACAGTATGCCCAAGTGACTCCGCAACCTACAAGTAAAATCATGAATTTTCTTAGGAGGTAAAGCCACAACTTCAAAAACAGACTTGTCTAAGAAATAAAAACCATAAAGAAAATTTCCTTTATTTACTGCTCATTTAATATATGAGTTCCAGTTCTTCATATGCATACGGATGGGATACATAGAGGAATTGAAACCAAACAAGTTCCAGCCTAGTAATTACCTTTGTAAATACGATTTTGCTTTGTTCTCTTCGATTTTCAGATGTAGGCAAGAAGAACATGCCCACGGCGTATTCCCCGGGTGGTGGTAGCTCGAAACCCATATCTTTGGCAATCTGTTATAAAGTAACAAACAACAATCACAACCAAGGTCGCAGAAATCAGTCACACAGCTTAAGACTTTGGCTGGATATCCTATTTACCCAGATTCCCTTTCTTGCCGTTTCTTTTATTTCGCTTAAATTAAATGCTCGTCACAAAAAATGTAAATACACCAAAACCAATGAAATCCCTCCATGAGAACACTAAAAAGGGTAAAATCTTTCATTAAAGTGTATTAAATAGATTCAGAATTAATCAAAGCAAACAAAACAATTTCTCTCTACCAAAAAGGTTGTTAACAATAAAGAAGAAAAGATCATTAATTGATGTTTACATAATTAAAAACGAAATCAAAAAATAAATTAAATTAAAGTATTACCTCCTTGAAGAATTCATGAGGAAGACCTACGAGAATGCCAGCTCCATCACCAGTATTTGTTTCACACCCACAAGCTCCTCTATGTGACATGCGCACCAGCATCTCTATAGCATCAGTCACCTGAAATACAAACAACACAAATGTCAACAAAAACCAATCACAATCTAAATAACCCAGAACCCAAAAACACTTCAAAAGCCTACCGTTTTCCGGCTGCTCTCGCCGGATAATTCGGCGACGAACCCGACCCCACACGAGTCCTTGTCGAATGAAGGATCATAGAGACCGAGAGGCTTCTCCGGCACCTGAGACAATGCAGATCGCAACACCACTCTGAGCTTCGGAGCTCGTCCGGGACCGTCCGATTGCCAAAGATGAAGCCTTTCGGAACCCAACCCTCGCACTCGGGCTCCATAGAAACGATTCTCCAAAGAACCGGACCGTTTGGTAACAGAGGTTCTCGTAGCTCTGGTGGTGGTGGTGGTGGTGGTGGTGGCTCTGTTTGTACCGACTCGGCTCAGAGAAACAACATTTGATTGCCGACTAACCAAAGGTGCACCGATTTTTGGTACCACCGACGCCGGGTTGTTTCGGGTTTGAAGAACAGAACTCGAACCCACCGACATTACAATCTGTTATTACAATTTTAAAAAGTCACAGATCTTGCAAAAATCAGGGTTTTCAATCTGATTTTTGTGCAGAACAGGTGAATATTCAGATCTGTGAAGATTAACCGATTATTTTTTTTTTCGAACCACTTGTAATTATAGAATCTCCTCCGATTCTGTGCTTAGATTGTTTTGGCGAGATTATAGATCACAGAGATCAGAGAGAGAAATCAGCGAAAATCGAGTGGATTGGAAAAAAGAAATAGCAAAAAAGTCGTCGAGTTTGGGATCTGAAGCCTATATTGGGCGAAATATTGATAGAAACTTGTGTCCTTATCCGTTGCGAAGTCTACGAGATTGAGTTCGAGCACGAACAAAAAGCTAAACAACCGGGAAATGAGGGAATCGCCGATACAGAATTAGGTATAGAGAGAGAAACATTCATATATATATATATATAGAGAGATAAAAGAGGAAGATAGAGAGAGAGGGGGAAGAGAACGCCGCTAGACCGACAGGCTGTTTGTTCTCCTGTTCGTCCTTGGCGAGGTGGGGAGGTGGTGGTTTTATAGAGAGAGAGTTGGGGAGGAGAGAGAGAGTTGGGGAGGAGAGTGGTATGTCATATAACTGATGAGGAGGATAGAGAGAGAGGGTGGGAACCACTTGGAGGTTCGATTTTACCCATTGTGATGACGTGACAGCTCAATTTTTTTTTATGTTCGGTGCCACGTGGACTTTTAACTATGCGGCACGCGACAGCCGCTCATGGTGCGTCCCACAAGCTTTGCTGGCCACCCTGGGAGGTTGGTTTCGATAATTGGAGCCCACTCCTAGCCGCCTCTAGGCTCGGTTCCGAGCCTCCGCGATTCCTGTCCCTAAAAAACTGTAATTTTTTATGGAGTAAATAAAAAAGTAGTTTTTTTTTTTTTTTTTTCAGATTCGTAAAAGTGATTATTCTGTATTTCTTTGTTTGTTTTTTTTTACTATCGCATAAATTCTTTATACTAGCAAATCGAAACAGTAATTATGGGATTAGTATTTTATACATAAAAGTGGTTATTTTGGGTTTGTTTTACGTGTAGCATCGCATAAATTTCTCCATTATGACGTGAAGGGCAAACAAGTAATTTCATTACTATACTAAGCCAATTTAGAACGTAATTAGGGTGAAAATTTTCCCAAATTTAAAGTGGGGTAGTTGACCATGTAATGTGACGAAGTGAGTGACGTTATTTATTTGTTAGTGGTATTTATTACTCAGATACGCGGCCAATGGTATACGAGATTTCGGCTGGCAGTAGTTTTATGCGGCCAACAGTAACATAGTGATGTGGAAAATAATATTTTGTGACACAAGAGGAAACAAAATAATAATAATATTGATAATAATAATAAAATACTAAATAAGAAAATTAATAAAAGCTCAAAATCGATATTATTGCTGACTCGTATTGATTGGAGGGAAGAGTATTTTGGGACACAAGAGAAAACAAAATAATAATAATAATAATAATAATATTGATAATAATAATAAAATACTAAATAAAAAAAAGTAAATAAGATTAAATAAGGAAAATGATAAAAGCTGTATTTATTGCTGATTTGAACACTTATTCATTCATCACTAGTTAAGAATTCTTATTGGACATTAGTCATTTAGATAGAATAAAAATAAAAAATTTAGTGTAAAGGTACTTTTAAAATAAATTTGGTCACTTATGTGAACTCCATGTAAATATATCAGTAATAAATGAATAAAATAAATATATGAATATCTATAATTAATAACTTCTATTTAATTGATTCAAATAAATGAAGTGCCTAACTAAAAAACAGTGGATAAGATTGAAATAAATATGGTCTGTTATTTGTATATCTACAATGACTTTTATTTGATTGACATAAATAAAAGAAAATGCCAAACTGAAAAACAGAGTGGATAAGATTAAAATAAATATGGTCTGTCATGTGTATGCCAACTCCACCTCAATATATCTAATGAATGACTTTTATTTAGTTAGACAAAAATTAATGAATTGCCTAACTAAAAACAGAAGTGGGCAAGACTAAAATAAAAATGGTCAGTTTATATGAACTCCATGGGAGTATATCTAACTAATGAGTTTTATTCAATTGACACAAATAAATAAAGTGTCCATCTTAAATAGAGGAAGTAGGGATGGTAATGGGGCGGGGTTGGACAGAGATCTCATTTCCTATTTTCATTCTCAGTTAAATTTTTTACCTACATCCCCGTCCCCGTACCCGTTTAAATTTCAACCCCGTCCCCCGTCCCCGTCCCGCCCCGCATAACTTTTTTAAATTCCAATTCACCTTCAACAAAATCAACATAACTATAATATTTTTCAACATAATAATTTAATAAATCTTCAGCACAATTATAACAATTTAAAACATAATATTTCAACCCGATCAAACTTATAGCAAAACCATATATAACATTTTTTAGAATAGTCTGGAAATTTTCAGCATGATCAATCAAAATAAATAACATTCTTCCACCAACGACTATGCTGCGAGGGAATAGATCTAGAGTTTCAGAGGTGAATATATATATATATATATATATATATATATATATATATATAGTTTTGTAATTTAGTAATATTTTATAACATGTGTGGGTAATTTTGTAAAAATGCACTACAAACAGGGTAGGGAGGGGCGAGGTTACCCTCCCCCGATCCCACCCCATCCCCTGCCGGGGTTTCAAATACAATCTCTATTCCCTCCCCATTTACATAAATGGGTCCCCAAACCCGCCATAACAGGGGCGGGGTGGGGCGGGGACCCTCTGGGTATGGGGATTTTGTCATCCCTAATATGGAGAGATAATATTGGCTCTATAAAAGTAATTACTGCTCTACTTTTATTTTTTGGGATACATCCTCAAACTTTTTCGAAAATAACTATCACTGAGGTCAATTTCTATTTTTCCATTAAATAAATGGGAAAGACAATTTTGCCCCTAATTTTTTAATCCCATTTATTCCAAAATATCAGGTTGCTTAAATGGCCATTATACCCCTACACCCACCTACCACCATTCCACATCTATGCTGCCGGCAAAACAGCAACCATGGAAGGAAAACGCTTAAATCCCCTACACCCACCGTCACCATGACCACCATCACCAACATCAATACCCCTATCACCAACATCAATACCCCTATCACCACATCACCAACATCAATACCCCCATCTGGCCATCACCAACCTCAAACACATCACCAGTACCAAATTTTGTAGAAAGGCCTAATACTGGACCACCACAACCAAAATCGTATATCTCGTTCGCTCCTCAATCTAAAACAAGGTGAGGAATTCTACTGTAATCCAAAAAACATCATAAAGCCCTTGCAGAGCTATAAAATCCTTCCCCTTCTTTGTACATCCAAGTCGAACTATCAATTTAGCATGGACAAGGTTTGTAAAATGGAATTCTTAATTATTATATATACAGTTGTTCCCATTCTTTTATAAAGTGAAACCTGCCTCTACACCTACCAATAGACTTAATCCCTCTGTCTATGAGTATTGGTGGAAAATGTTAAACCATCGCGATAATGGCCAGGGAGGGAGAGGTTGATGTTGGCGTCACCAGGGAGGAAGGGACATAGACAAAAAGCGTCGACGCGTTAGCTCCACTGGGTCGGAACGAGTTATCGAGCTAGTCGTTACTCGGTGACAGCTCAAAACCCAAATCATCCTTGTCGTCACCAGGATCTCACTGTCGTTGTCTCTTGCGCCTTATAAAAAAATATTAGGGATATTTTAGTCTTTTAATATAATTGTTGTTTTGATAAAATAAAAGGGTATTTAAGTCATTTTACATAGTGTCATAACTGTTTAACTAACGGTTAGGGTATGAATGAAAAACGGAACAAAAATTTTTAATATAAGTAATAGTTATTTTCGAAAGAAGTTTGAAGGTGAAAAATGGTCAAACCTAAGGGGTGGTGAGTGAAATTAGCCCTTACTTTTTTTTATAAAATGACAAAAGTATCCCTAGACTCTCTATTTACTTCTTCATTGTCACCTTATCTCCTCGTGTTTCTTTTTAGGGATAAAATCACATAACCCCCATATACTATTATTTTCATGCAAAAAAACTCCCACTAAAATTAAACACCCCCCTAACCTAAAAAAAAAAAAAAGACTATCAAGTTACCCATACCCGTGATCCACCTGTTTATTAGGTTATGAAATGACAAAATTAACCTTATAATTTAATATTAAATTAAAATTTGAAAATTATTATTTTTTAAATTACAAAAATGCCCGTTAGACCCTTGAAGTGGTGATTTTCTTCCTTTTCGCCTCTCTCTCTATACCTTTCTCTCTCTAAAACCAACGAATCAGAGCAAGTATTTTTTTTCCCTCAAATAGAGTAAGCATTGAGATTCAACAAAAAAAATGGCAGCAACAATCGGCATTCTATAACTAAACTACCAACAAAACCACACCTCAAATTGTTTTATCACTGCCCTTGACCCCAAGTCATCGATCCTCTCACAATCTTTCGACAATTAGGGAACCATCCATAGCAATTCAGAAAAGAGAGGTCTAACTTGCTCTCTCCACTCCCATTAAATTGGATCTTGTGGCTATATGTATCATCTGACCTGCTATTCGAGACTATCATGATGGAGGCTACCTTCACAGTGGTTGGACTCATTCTCCAACTTTGCAGAATCGGAGTCCGTCAAGGATTCACTCGCTAGTCTTCCACAACAGCAACAACGGCGATGTGTTCTCCCTCCCTTGCTTTCTCCCGTTGATTGCATTCGCCGCCACAGCCAACAACCCCACACCTCTTCTCCCCCAAATTCGTCGATCTACTTCCTCTAGATTTCGTTCCAATCCCATATGGTTTTGTGTTCTTTGAGTTTAACGGAGGTATTCATATCGGTGGCGAGACACTTGCCGACTTTATGTTGTACATCCAAGAAATTCGGCACCGATTGAGCGAGAACAGGGATTGCTGGAATTTTTTTTTGAAATCTGACCTGTTTCTAGGTATAGAGATATTTCCCTTCATCGGCGTGACACTCTTTAGCCAGGCACTCAAATTAGATCCCTAATCATATAGTCAAATTACATAAATTTGCTATTTCCTTTCAAATATATTACCATAAATTTGTTCTTTCCTTTCTGGTTTAGAGTGGTTTTTCTTTGGCAATGATAGATGGAAAATCTGATTATTGATATATATATATGTATATATATATATAAGTTGTGCTTGAAATCAAAAACGCTGCCATGTTGGTTAATTTGGATTAAATAATGAAAGGGTAAAATCGTCATTTTAAAAAATATATTAAGTTTTAATTTAACATTAAATAGTAAGGTCAAATTTGTCATTTCACATTTTAGTTATCGGGTCGGTTACGGGTTTGGGGGTAATTTCACAAGTTTTGTTAGTTCAAGGACCTATTTGATTAAATTGGGGGTTTCATGCACGATTTTGAAAGTATAGGGGGGTTTTGTGATTTTATCCCTTCTTTTTATATACTTATCTTTCTTATTAATAGAAGCCACGATTAGACTGCATCATTGAAATTTTACATAAGT